CGCAGGTTTTGGAATCGGAACGTTGTCTTTCGCCACTCCCATAAATGTATTGACCCTCTCGTCTATTGAGTCAATTTTAGAGGACAAAAGCTGGATTGCCTGTAAAAGCGCACTTTCACTAGTAGTCTCCTGCCTCGTAAGCTTCTTCTTTACCTTCTCCACATACTTACCTACCGGCATCTCCAGCTCTTCATCGTACTCATCACTACTCTCCGCCTCCTCGCTAGTTTCCATCTTCTTCTCTTTCATTTTTCCTTTCTTCTTTTCCCTCAAGTCACTTTCTACCTTTTGGTTCTTCTTCCTTTTAGGCTGTTCCACAAAGTCATCATCACTATCCCTCTCCCCCTTCTTCTCACTCTCCTTTTTCTCACTATTCTCGTTCTTCTCACTCTTCTTCTTCTTCTCACTCTTATCCTTCTCATCACTCTTCTTCTTCTTCTTCTTCTTCTCACTTATCCCCTCCGTCTCCCATGCGGTCTCATCCAACCGCGATTTGAGAATATCAACTATCAAATTATGCAACAACGGATCCACCTCTGCGTTCGCATCTTCGTCTGGCCAATACAGATATATTTCCTCTCGTGAAACCTCCAATAGATGCCTAACCCGAATCTGCAATATTACCAAACAACTCTATCAGCTAACAAGTCTACCGTAGCCATATTACAATAACCAAACAAGTCTACCGTAACCATATTACAATAACCAAACAAGTCTACCATCACATAACTCGTTAAGCAAACAAGTCTACCGCAAGAAAACAAGTCTACCATAACATAACTCGATAAGCAAACAAGTCTACCATAACATAACTCGATAACCAAACAAGTCTACCATAACACAACTCGAGCAAACAAGTCTACCATAACTGAAGCAAACAAATTTACCATGATGATTCTTCACCTAATCTACAATCAACTGAAGCAAACGAAACTAGTCTAATATCACATAAACCTATAAGTTTCCACAATATAAGTGAACATACCTTGTTGTTAGGCTGCGTACGTACTTCCTCCTCCAGCACTTTCTCTAAATTGTACCGATCTCTACAGGATTTCCATCGAAGTAGAGGACACAGAAATAACTCGGGATTATTTTCTAGTCTCCCAAACTTTTCACCCAATGTAGCCACGGACTCATATGCCCAAATGAGAAGGGCGTGGAAACATCCTTGGAACGTGTAGCTAAGTCCTCCCAACGATGCAATTTTAACTGACGAAATTAGCTGCTTAAAGCTGACACGACCCCACGGATACCTCTCAAAAGCTGCCTCATCCAACACTCTTTTAGCACAATCCAAAGGGATCCGCGAATTGCGATGAATACCAAATATGGCTACATGCAATGTGAATAGCAAGCCAACCATCTTTTTCTTCGCGGATGACCATGTACTGCATATTTCAAAAACAGCAACCAACTCATGCCAATTAGGCCTGACTCCTGTACTCACACCCATCTCTTCCCAGAACTCTCTATGATCAATGTCCCACTCATCATCAGCAAATGGCTCACAGTTTAGGCCAGTGATATCACGAAACTCGTGAAGCGAAAACCGCAATGGACGCCCACCAATAAGTGACCAGATTTCGTAACTCCTTTGCACCGCCAATTGGTTTGTTATGAAGTTATGGACCGTACCCGCAGCCCATATGTAACGCTTCTTGGCAAGCTTCAACATCACGCCAACCTGAGAACCGAGCATAATGTTGTTGTAGACATCCTCTCCAACACCTTCAACCAGCAACCTAAAGTCCGACAAATGACAATAATGATTCAAGCTTCTCTTTTGCACAGGAGATTTTCCAGGCGGAAACAATCTCGGTGGATACTTCTGCTTTCGCCCCCTCTTATCCTTTAAAGATGCCATATAACCTGCAAAAATTTAACATATATATATATATATATCAATCAATACATCTATGAAACAAATTTACTACCAATACATCCAATACATACGATGACAAACAAATCTACCACAAGCTATCGATGCCAAACAAATCTAACAAATCATCCTCTCAAACAAATCAAACAAATCACCAATAGCTATCAAACAAATCTACCACAACAAAGCTAAGCTACCAAACAAATCTACCACAACTATCAAACAAATCTACCACCATGACCATCGTTAATACCAACAAAAACTAAGCCATAAACAAATCTACCACCACTATATATATCAAACAAATCTACCATCACTATCAAACAAATCTACCACCATGACCATCCTTAATACCAACAAAAACTAAGCCATAAACAAATCTACCACCACTATATACCATATATCGAATAAATCTACCACCATTACCTCGACATATATTAAAAATCTACCATAACGGCTCTGTAAATCCTCACCGAAATAATCTTCTCAGGCGAGCGGACTGTTTTCACCGGTCAACTTTGTACCAATCTGAGTTCGAGCTCCGATAGATCTGTATAAAAAAGGGATAAGTAACAATTAGTTGTCTCATAAAATCTCGATAAACAAAGCAATTTCGTAAACAAAAAAAAATAGCCGCCGGCGGACCTTAGCTTTCTCAACGAAGAGGCAAAACAATTTTCCGGCGGCGGATCTAACCAATCCCGATAAACAGTTTTCTGCAATAAACGAATACGGTCTTAGATTTGAAGCTCAAAGTCAGAACTGCCAGAAAATTAAACTAAAAATCTCGGTACCTTTGCTCCGCCGACGATCTTTGCTCCGCCGACGCTGCGCACCGATCCAATCCGTCGCCCACGACGCCACCGACGCTTCGCACCGATCCGATCCGTCGCCTACGACGCCGCCTCCGATCTGTCGCCTACAAAGCAGCCGGAATCCTCCGATCTGTCGCCTACGATGCTGCCTTTTTTTTTTTTTAAGTTTTAACCTCTTTGTTTTTTTTTTCTGTTTCACTTTCATTATCGGATAACAATTTCTCTCAATTCTCTTTTGTTTATTTTTTTATTTTATTTATTTATTTAATTACAAAAATAGCTTTTTTAATGGCATTTTTGTTATTATGTTAAAAATTTAGAGTTTATGTCTTTGCACAACTTTGTGAGATTATTGTAGTAAGTCAGTTATAGGAGGGTATTATTCTAGTAAATATCTTATTTAGTAAAATTATTGTAGATAAATAGCTCAAAATAAAATTGTGTGGGTGACGTAAGAGGTTGTATTATGAAAATCTTTAATGCGGCAAATTTTTTGTTGATGCGTGACGTTCACATATGACTAAAGTTGTTGAGTTTAAGAAAAAAATAAAGATGACCAAAGTCGATAAACAAAAAGTTATAATAAATAATATATATTTATTTCAACTGGTGATTAAGGGAATGAAGGGAAATAACGAATTTTTATTTATTTTTATTCATTTTTATCATTTGCTAGTAATAATATTTCCCTATCATTCTTTTTTATTCCTTATCATATAAGAAATTATAGAATAAATGTATTCTTTATTAAAATTTGGGAGGAACAAAATATATTTATTTATTTCCTTATTTATTTTTCATTCTTATTCATTCCTTTTCTTTTGTTTATTTCATTCTTTTCTTTTTTATTATTATTCTGTTTTTATTAGTCACCAGTTAAAATTATTTTCTAATTTTTTTTTAACTTTATAACACAGTGTTAGCTTCTTGATTGCCGTTGGAGTCTGAAGTTGGATATCGTCAGTTTAAAGAGAGAGATAAATTTTAGTACAAAGTACAAACCATTTCACAAGCGATTATATCATAAGCTAAAAGTTTTGATTTGTTGTTAAATAGTACTTCATCCGCTTTTATATATATAATTTTTAAGATTTTGCACACAAATTAAGAAATTATTCAATTTATCATATAATGTTTGATAAAAAAATAATAAATATTAAACAAATCAACTGATGTTAAGAAAATAAAATAGAAAAAACAAATCAAAGACTTTTTTTTTCTTCAACACGTTGTCTTCAAGAAAAAGAAAATAACTGAAGACGGAGATTTTTAAAAACGTGTTCAATAAAAAGCACATGTTTGCCACTTGGCACATTTGTGTCTACGTTTCGTATGATTTATTTCATAATACGCGTAACCAAGGCCGTGCCTACAACGTAACATTAGCCTACGGCTCCATATTCTTAAAAATTAGTGAAGAAGTCTTTTTCTTATATATAAATTTGTTTCTAAATTCTTCATCTTTCATAGTTTCTTTTACGCATGAAAAATACTCTATCACTGCATAACTAATGTTCTCCTTTTTAAAACTGAATTCCAGATAGGATTATATTAGCACCATATTTTGTTGAACATTTTTCCTAAGTTCTATACAAATCATTTTAATATGTAAACTTATTCTTTTCTTTATTCTTCCCTTTTTATTGACTTTTTATTTATGAAAAGTTACAATTTATTATCTAAAAAACTACTACAAAATTTTTTAAAAAATAAATATAATTACCTTAACAAAAAAATTATAATAGTAAAACTTTTTGATTTTATATTATTGAGTATTTTTTTAATTATTTTCTTCGGCCTCTACTAATGTAGGCAAGGCTCTGCGCGTAACGTTAGCAAAACGTTACATACAATTGGTGTCCCACCGCCATGTACCTAGGAAATTTTTTGTCAACGTCTTCAGAAATATTTTTTAATGACTTTGGAAACTTAGAAATTTTTAAGTCATCGTTGTAATTAACTTGTAATCAAATCACAAATAAAATAAAAATGTGTGGGTGATGCAGGGCCAGCCTGGTTAAATTTAAGGACATGTGTCAATTTTCTAAGGTTTATCCTAGAATTGGTTTGTTCATCGGTGTTTGTTTATCTGTGGCTGGTCTCCAATTTTGGCACTTGAAAACTTTATTTCAGAAAAAGAAACTCTTGAAGTAGTAAAAGACCATTGGAGAGAAGCTATTGCTTTGAGCATACAACTGAATTCATTTTCTAGAAAGGATAAAACTTTTTGTGGTGGTTTTTGATGATCTCTGGTTTTCAGAATTTGTGTTTTGTGTTGTTATGAATTGGATAAGCCACATTGATCAGATGGCAAAGATTCCTTGTTCTTCTAGGTCCTCTCGAGGATCTCCATGAAGGAGAGCCTCTGGTTCAAGTCTACGTCCCAACATTTGTTGATAATTCTGAAACAAACATACATGGAGAATGCAATTCTCAAGATTTCTCCTTTTTAAGCTTTCTGCTTTTTCTCCAAAATGGTTTTCTTCTTTTTCTTCTAATCCAATTGCTGCTATAACTTTCTTGACCTCCTTGACAATTTCCTTGACAAAATCGGCTTCAGAGCTGCCCAAAAAAATCTATATATACCTTACTTCATATAATATCCTTCACATTTTGAACTTTCAAAAAATAATTAACGATTCTAGGGTTTTGATTAGAGTGTATACAAAAGAGCAAGAAGAAGAAAAATGTGATGAGTGTGAGTGTGGAAGAGTACCACTTGTCTTGCAACGACAAACCCATCTTGTCGGAGATAGACTCCAAGGCTTCCTTCCACTTCTCGATCTGATCTCCACTAGTAGCCTTCGCTAGCGTCCAAAAGTTTTCACCAAACTCGCCTGTCTGTTTCCTAACGTCTCTTGCACTCACTTTATAAAAGATTGGGATGACTTGGAGCTTTCCTTGATCTGCAAGTTTCTTCATATTCATAACTAGTATTTGTTTTTTTCCTTTGCAAATTTTTAATAACTAGTATCAGTTATGATTAATACACAAAGTTTAGCTACGGAGTATTGAGTGTTTTATAGGGTTTTTGTTCATACAGTATTTCTTTTTTTTCTTTTTCTTAATCGTCAATTTGTTTGTATTTGTTTCATTTCGAATTAATGTATCAAAATTTGTACTTTAGACGGCGAAGGTTTACAGAGCCCTGAACCGAATCGACTAATGGTCGGATCCACATCAGTCAAACTGTGTCCTTTTGAAGTATTATATTATATTTTCGTTTCTTCCAAATCATAACTGTTTTCACGTAGACACGTATGATGTTTAGATTCTTTCGTCGAGCTGCCTTTCAACAAAGACTATTTTTCAAGATTACTTAAATCAGTCATTCCTTTCTCTTTTCCCAATGATTATAATTTATAACATGATGGTTTGTATTAGAACAGTTGTTTAGTCAACACATGAAATTAAATTCGGTATAATGCATATTATTAACGAAAAAATAATTATATATTCGTAATGATAATCATTTATAATATGGAAGCTTGTAGCGGAAAAAAAAAAAAATGGAAGCTTGTATATTAGTGCGGTTGTCTTTTTTATCATTGGAATTCAGATTCGGCATAACGTATACTGCTAGAAAAAATATTGTAGTGTAAATTGTAATTGAATTAGTAGTTTAGAAGTGTCAAATTTAGATTCGAGTGTCAGCGAATGAAGATTATTACAATTCTTTACGGAAAATAAAACAGGTTTCACGAATTAAGTCAATTCACTTATCGGTAGGTGACAGACTGACGGTTATTGTAGTCTTTACCGGACCTGTCAGCTATTCTTCAAATCCCCTAAAGGGCCTAAGCAAACCAGTATTGGGCGGGGGAAGTCAAAGTTCTTAACAAAACGAAGCCCAATACTATTAGTTGGCTCGTATAAAGCCTATAATATGTTGAAGACAAAAAGGGAAAAACAATTTACTATAATATTTTCAAGATTTAAAGCAATAAATAATATTTAATAGTTTTGGCTCTGATTTTGAATTTTTAGTTTTTGGTTTTTCAATAGTTATTAAAATATTTGCAGAAAAAAATAAACTAGTTACAATGGAAAATAAATATACAAGCATGCTATCATAATTTCACCGTGCACAACATTCAACAGACGCAAGACTCAATATAGGATAGGAAATTGGTATTTGGCAATATATATAGGACAACAGCCAACAATCAATTCAATTGGCAGATTTCTTTATAATAGAAATATCGTCGCTGCTTCCGATATAGAAACATTCTTCTAAAAACTTATGTAATGACAGAATCTGGTTATTCAAATAAGTTTAAATATATTGATTTGGTTATTTAAGTTATTAAAATGTATTTATTTTTTCGGTTACTAGTTCTAAAAGAATTATACAGTTAAACATATTTGAACTGGAGCATGACTAAGATAAGTAATTTTTTGGGAAGTTGTTTCTAAAATTATATGAGTAAGGACATACAAGGAAAGATCGTGTGGTGATTACATGGTCGGTATGCATGACTTTCAAGCCTCCCAACTAACGCACTGACCATCAGACATGAATAAAACTCATGGGCCTAAGGGAGGACATGGATGTGCTTACCGATAGGGGCGGTCAGGGCGTTATAATTTAGTAGCAGAGCTTGGAAAGTCAAACTGGTTCTATCCCATGAGACTGTCTTAAGATTTCGGGGTTAGGGCTCATACCTTCTGGATCAGAATTCAGGGACGAATTCCTGTTTAGTGGGAGAAAATTATAACGATCCGGATCTGGCCATTTGAATAAATTTAAATAAATTTATTTGGCTACCTATATCACCAAAGTACACTTATCTTTTCGATCTCTAGTCCCGAAAAAACTTTATAGTTTAGCGTGCTTGAGCTGGAACAGGATTATGATGAGTGACCTTTCAGAAAGTGATTTTTAAAATCATATGAGTGAGGACAAAACACAGGGAAAATGGCGTAGTAATTGCAGAGTCAATATTTCATGATTTTCGAATTTTTCGATTAATGCACCGAACATTGAATATAAATAGGGCTCACAAGCTTAAGAGAAGATGTGAATGTGCTTACCGATAGGGGCGGTAGGGGCGTAATAGCTTCCCACAAGATCATTATCAAAGTACATGGAGTTATACACTAAAATCTCTATAAATTAATAATGTTATAATTTTAAATTATAATTAATTTTTTAAAATATTAATTAATAGATACACTTATCGATAAAATAAAATTATTTTTGGTTTGAATTTTTAACATGTGTTAAAACAAAAAAATAATTTTAAACAATATAAAATTTATTCAGAAAATATTACATAAATAAATATGAAAATTAATTGAAATAATATTTATAAAATTTAAATAACAATAAAATTATATTTTACTATATTATATTATAAATATATACATATATTTATATTTATTAAGTTATATTATTACTGAAACTATATTATTATAAAAGAATTTCAAAAAAATATTAGTATTGTTATTTTATCGAAAAGTATCAATTTTTATAATGGTCTAATTTGAAACTAATAAAATTTATTAATTTATAGTAATTATTAATATATTAAGTATTAATTTATAAAGATTCTACTATATATAATTTTAAATGCATTTATTTTATTTTATAGTGAATTTAACAATTGTGTTTCCCAAAGTTCTTAGTAGACTTCTAGAGTCAATTTCACAATGGAGATCTAAATACGTTGAAAATTCATTTGAAACATATAGAAAAGGGTACATTTGATTAGAAAATACTTTATAAAAATAAAAATTCATCAAGACAAATTACAGATATTGAATTACGTCACATCTTTTTGGGTTTTTGCACCTCTTGAAAATGGATTGCTCACATTTGCAATTGCAATCCTTTTTCCTTTTTTCCCCAAAATGATTAGCAAAATCATTTTCTTTTCCATCGATTCCAACTGCTGCTACAACTCTCTGAACCTCCTTTACAATTTTTTTGACAAAACCAGCTTCAGAACTGCCATAGAAGTATACCTTAATTCATGAAATGTCCTTCAGATAATTTTGGAGAAAAAGAACAACAGGGAGTACCTTTTGTTTTTCAACGACAAACCCATCTTGTTGGAGATACATTCCAAAGCTTCTTTCCATTTCTTGATCTGATCTCCACTAGAAGCTCTCGCGAGCGTCCAAAAGTTATCACCAAACTCACCCGTCTGTTTTCTCACGTCTTGTGCTCTCACCTTGTAGAAGATTGGAATGACTTGGAGCTTTTCTTTATCCGCAAGTTTCTTTATCTTCACCAACTCATCCATACACCAGCTCGACTCAGCATACCTATATAGTTAATTAACACAATGTGAAACCTATGGTAATCCATTGAAGAAGTAGCGTGAAAGACTTGTATACAAACCTGGTAGAGAATATGGCAAGCGCGATCCTCGACTGCTGAATCCTTACAAAGAGATTTTTAAGATCTTTACCTCTCTGCTCGTATTTGTCTACGAAGAAGTCGATTCCACGCCTTTCAAAGGCATCAATGAGATGACTCACGAAGCTGTAACGCAGTTCCTCTCCTCGGTAGTTCAAGAACACTTGATGTGTCTCAGTGGAAGAAGACATTTTCATCATTCCACGATACTCTCCAGTTTAAGAACTTGACGTTGTTAAAATCAAAAGGTGCCCTCCAGTTTATACTCTCCATCTAAGATGATGTCATGTTGACTTGTTGAGGCGAAAAAAAGGCGAAAAAAGAAAGAAAGAAAGAAAAAAAGGCGAAAAAAGAAGATGGGGTCGCCCAAACATACGTGACGGGTTTTCATTCTAACAAGCACAGTCCGTCAGTCACATACTTGGTTGCCAGTTGGCACATTTGTACCACCCACAAGGCCGTTCCACCAGCTAAGCAAGGGAAACGAAGGATTGGGGCAGTAAAATTTGTAGGGGGATTTTTTTCAATTTTTTTTTTATTTGGGTTATTTATCAATATTTATATATAACAAAAAAATTTAAAATTTTTGTTAGTGAATTTTATGTTTTAGAATTGAATAGGCTGACTTTAATGAGAATCTTAGTTTGCGCAATCAACTTTATGAGAATCTTAGTTCGTTGTCTTCTTCTTAGTTCTCACTGTTCATTTGCCATTGGGGTCCCACAACAAACATGGAATCCTCCGTAATGTAAACACACTCTATTCTTTTTCTTTTTTTTGGTTAAAAGGTTTTTATATTATTTTTTTTTTAGTTTTTTGGGTTTCACAATGTACAGAAAAAAGGAAATAATAAGAAAAAATAAAACAAAGCCCAATAAATTCCTAATAGGCTTGGTTAAAGCACAAAACCAGTTTAATCGGGAGACATCTAATCCTAAAATGAGAAACAACTTTGTTGAAGCCGCTGCTATCCCCGCCGTCGAGAAGCCGCTCCCGAATAAATCTGAAATTGGAACAAACCTACGAAACCGCTACCACTCAAAGAGAAAAACGAAAACCTCCTTCGTACCACAACAAGAGAGTTCGCCCAGAGAAAAGAGACGACTTTGAAAACCTCCTTCGTAAACACACTCTATTCACAAATTTTTGTTCAAGTACCTTATTATTCACAAATGTATATCTTAAAACATTTATAATTAGTATCCCATAATTTCCACGTAACCAGACACCCGACCCTGACACGATTTATTTACTAAATTAATAATATTTATAGCATTTCATATTTTTTTACACAAATTTAATCTAATTAATTTTTTACACTATCAATTATTCGATTATTATGTTATTTTGTATTCATCTAACATATTATTTAAATCTAACATTTTTTTTTGGTCAGGTTGTTTTGTTTACAATGCCAAGTAAAATGAAACATTTGTTTTGGTCTCCAATTTTTTTTTAGATTATTAGTATTAAAATAAGCCCTTAAATTTTATTTTAGTTGTAATAAAGAGTTTTTTCCCAAATTTAAGTATATTTAACAATTCTCAAATTTATATTTTTTTCTTGCTCGAGCCTCCAAAGTTTAAGGATTGCTCTGGTTTTCATTCATCTAAATCAATTATAGTCCATACAAAGAGAAAAACATGTGAAAACGCTACTATAGTTAAAACAGCTGCATAATGCAGAAATGAGAAAATTATAAAGATAGATGGACAAATAGAGAATAACAAGGCCTAGTACATCATGTAGAGAGCCTGCAAACTCGTTCAGCTCCGTTCCCAACAAGGGAGCAATAGTTAGGACATCCGAGTCCAAAACCACTTGAAGTAAGGTAATACCTGCAGAGAAAACATCATTAAGCGCCAAACGAAAAGTAAAAACTTCTTGAAACAACAAAATTAGGGATGCATGGGAGTTTTTGCTGGGTTTTGACCGAAGCAAGATGAGGTCCCAACAACAGCTAGCAACAAGACATTGGAGGAAGACATTGAATTCAACTTCTGAATAAACAAAACTCGTGCATAACTCAAATTCTGCAAAACAATTTTTCTTATCTAATGGGGAAGAAGAAAGATCGGACAGCTCCATAAAAGAGTAAACTTGAATGTAGATTAGCACACAAAACCAAGGTAAACACTATAAAAGATCGTTGTAAGCTACCATCACTTTTAAAATCTCTACAAAAAAGAAGTATATGAGATGTAACCAAGCTTCAAACTAAGGTAAACAATCCTTATACTGAGGTGAACAACCCCCATACAGAGGTAACAAATCCTAAAGAAAGGCAAGTTCCCAACCGAAGCCATATGTTCAAAAAATTATAGGCTCGAAGAGAGATAATACCTTCATACAACTTAAGAGGCATGACGACAGATCCATAAGAAAACGTCAAAGGTCTTGACGCTACCCAGATAAATCCTAAATCAGGTGGATCTGGCGGGTATGGAGGGTCTGGTTGAGATGGCATAAAGGGACCATCACACACAACAGCCAAGAGGTCCTGGAGACATCTTTCTCGGTAGAGAATTTGATGACTGCGACAAAGTGAGGGATAGATTTGAGAACTCAGTCCTTAAAAGCGCCACAAAGCCCTTCGATAACTCTATCGAAGATAAATCAGTTTTGACAACCGCCATGAACACATCTAAGAGTGGAGAAGCGACTGGCAACGGATCTGGATATGGATCCGGAGGAGAAAAGAGGAGCGACGGAACCAAAACACGGGTTAACACCAGCAGAATCATAGGAGGAATGAAAAAAATAAGAAGAGGGAAAAAGAAGAAATTCTCGCTGGTGAACGTGAGACCTCATCATCTATTTGGGGGTTGAACCTAACATATCAATTATCATATTTTTGAACATATGAACTATATACGCTTGTTTATTGAAACTTATTACTATTTTTGGGTGGATTATTTTAATGATACAAATAAAAAATTGCATATATTTACTCTAATACCATTAATCAATAGTTCAACCAATTAATTTTTTTTGACGTCATTCAACCAATTAATTTTTGAAATAGAAAATTATATATTGTATAAGCTTTTTATTACCCTAATAATATCAATTTTAATTTAACATTAAGAAGGATGAGACCAGACTGTGACTATATGACAATAAAAAAATAGTGGATTGTGTTGCAATTCTTTTTCTTTTTTGATAAAGTATTGTTGCGAAAAATTATGCTATTAAAGGATAAATAATTTGTTCTTTACTATAACAAAAAATAAATTAAGAAGGGTGTGTGTTTTAAAGTCCTAGAAATATGAGATGTATGCGAGTGATGTACGCAGAGCTGTGCTATCATGCCCTTTTATTTGATTAAGAAAATCAAATGTTAGTTTGCCGTCAAAATTAAAAATATAATAAAAATGTGCGGGTGGGTGTAACGGCAAAGTTTTTATCGATGCATCATAAATTAATATGACCAAAGTTGAGTTAAGAAAAATATAGTCCGAATATGTCTCATTTACTTTAAACACAGGCTCAGAAGATTTGTTAGCTTCTTCACTGCCGTTGGCGCTGAAGTTGGATATCGTCAGTTGAAAGAGAAAAATATGATTGGTACGTACAAACCACTCCAATCGTGGTTTTAGCAGGAGCCAAAATATTCGATTAGAGAACGACTTATATATAGGGGAATCGGGACAATGGTGAGATAAGATAAACATTTGCTAATCATTTGAAAAGCGAGAAGTTTTTAATTAGTGTATTTCCAGAACCAGTCTCGCTATTCGTTGAGAGTTAATCAGCAAGATATATATTAATTGAAGAACAAAAAAGAGTATATTTATAAACATTAAAACATGTACAAAAAATCTGACCCAAAACAGAAAAAAACACATTTAGGGAAAAAAGCGGATATATCAAAAACAAATGACAGAATATTTAATTACGTTACAACTTTTTTGCTCCTCTTGAAATCGGGAAGCTCACATTCGTAATTGCATTCCTTTTTTATCCCAAAATGTTTTTCTTCTTCCTCGAGTCCAATTGCTGCTGTAGCTCTCACAACCTCTTTAGCAATTTCCTTGACAAAATCGGCTTCAGAGCTGCCTTAAAAGTATACCTTAAATCATAGATTTTGTAGCAAATGATTATAATTAAGAAGGGATGTGATCGGAAAGTACCTCACGCCTTGGATAAGATGCATCCCAACGCTTCTTTCCACTTCTTGATCTGATCTCCACTAGAAGCTCTCGCGAGCGTCCAGAAGTTGTCACCAAACTCACCCGTCTGTTTTCTCACGTCTCGTGGTCTCACCTTGTAGAAGATTGGGATGACTCGAAGCTTTTCTTTATCCGCAAGTTTCTTAATCTTCACCAACTCATCCATACACCACCTCGACTCCGCATGCCTATATAGTTAAGACGAGAATGATTACGATTCGTGAATCTTGTGGTTCCTTGGGATGATCAAGAGTGTGAAAGAATGCTGCAAACCTGGTAGAGAAGATGGCTAGTGCGATCCTCGACTCATCGATCCTAACAAAAAGATTATTTTTAGGTCTTTTCCCCTCAGCTTGTATTTGTCTACGAAGATCTTGAACCCGTGCCTCTCTGAGGCATCAATGAGGTCGATCTCCCCGGTTATTCAAGAACACTTAGAAAAGATTGTCATCGTTAGTATGACATATGAAGCTACGAAACTGTTTGAATGAATTGGTGAAAACGAGAGGGGAAATGTTCCATTGCTAATAAAGGACAAAGGATTGATTCCATCCACGTAGTAGGAGGTTTGACAATGAAAGCACGTACAATTTTTTTATTGTATCCCGTCATCTTTCTATGCGTCATCTTTGTAAACTATCTGTAAATTGCTTACTAACTAGAGATACTTGCCGCCAGTGATTAAATAGTATTTACTTTAAATTTTGACTCGGTAGAAAATATTTTTGGATCTGCCACTGTTTGCCGCTTTATGTACCCATTATATCATTGAAATTATAAAATAAAATAAAAATCATGTGTAGGGTTCAATTTTGTAAAATAGGAACATAAGTCCATTTGGGAGAGACGTGTCTGAAGTCTGATATAGTTGACTCATTTCGTTTCAAATAGTGCTTTTATAATCACGGGTTTGTTTATGTTTTGGTTATGATAAATTATAGCATTAAATTTAATTCAACGGTGCCCGTTTCACATCTTTTGGTATGTTACTCAAATTAAACCACTTTTATTTACGTTGAGCAAAATACAGTACTAAAAAATGTGAATCGCCGTTGAATTAAGTTTTATGTTTATGTTTTGATATATTATAATCTCATTTTGAGTAGTTACATTCGTTTGTAAGAACTTGCATCAGTGAAATGAGAAGAACATCTCATTGAGCTCGGTTGGCGTGATCGAGGCTTCGAAATCAAGTAGAGAGAAAAGAACAACAAGACTCTCGCGGGAGCCAATCTTACACCGTTACATGCGTGTTTTCCCATTTTTATCATCTTTTTAGTGTATTTAAGTCAGTAAAAAAAATTGGCTTATATAATTTTGGGTTTGTTTTTTTTTTTTTTTGCTTTTTGGTATGTGTGAATATGATTGAGAAGGCAAAATCAGGTCTTTCTTAACCATCAACTGTAGGACTTTTTTCTTAGTTTATTTTAGGGGTCTTTCTTGTTGATTTCTTTGCTGATTCTCTCTCTCTCTCTCTTTGTTTTTTTTTAATAGCAAATCGTAGACCTAGAATCTTTCGCGCACAAATCGTAGACCTAGAATCTTTCGCGCACAAACAAGATTTACTCCAATGAAAATATATAACTTTTTAAAAGCAATTTAAGCAAATCCCACTTTTTGTTCCCATATGTAATATATTCAAGATTTTAGACTTGTGTGCCTTAGCCTTAGGAGAGACACAGAAAGAAATGGTCGCAAGTCGTAACACCATGTAACAGAGAGACAAACCAAGACACAAATCCTCGTGCAGAAAAATAGATCAATCATTGTTAAAAGAAGTAGTAGAAGAAACTGATAACGAGAAGATATATAATTAAACTGAATAGAATTATCATATTCAAGATTGAAAACCCACGTTCAAATATTAAAACTTTACGTCCACAAAGCATAAAAACACAGATGATCGAGAATAAAGGGAATTTTTTCAAGCTACTTTTTGGTTTTAACCCTCTTGATATCTGGGCAGTTGCAATTTCCGACCATTCTCCTTTTTCCCCCAAAAGGAGTTTTTGCTTTCTCGACTCCAGTTGCTTTTATAACTCTCTGAACCTCTTTAACAATTTTCTTGACAAAATCAGCTTCAGAGCTTCGAAAAAAACGGTATAGGTTAAGTCATATACAATATATCCCTCAGATTTTGGAGGAGGAAAAAAAGACAATATTCCTTAGTTTCTAGTAGTGTATAAAAGAGCAAAGACAAGAAGAAGAAGAGTGGCTGTGAGTGAAGTACCTCTTGCCTCCCAATGACAAACCCATCTTGTCGGAGAAATATTCGAGAGCATCTTTCCACTTCTTGATCTGATATCCCCTAGAAGCTTTCGCGAGCTTCCAGAAGTTGCCACCAAACTCACCTTCCTGTCCTCTCACGTCTTGTGGCTCCACCTTGTAAAAGATCGGAATGACTTGGATCTTTCTTTTTTCGGCAAGTTTCTTCATTTTTACCAACTCATCCAAGCACCACCTCGACTCCGGATACCTAGGATTAAGACAATTTATTGCGATTCTTGAATATTCTGTTAATTTTAGGGTTTCTTTTTATATATATACTACTATACCCATCCTACAAACCTGTTAGAGAAGATAGCCAGTGCAATACTCGACTCTTCGATTCTTACAAAGAGATGTTTGAGATCTTTGCCTCGCTGCTCGTCTTCATCCATGAAGAACTTGATCTCATGCCTCTCAAAGGCATCACAAAGGTGGCTGACGAAGTTGTCGCGCAGTTCCTCTCCACGGAAATTGAAGAACACTTGGAACTTCGCTGCTGCCGGAGAAAAGTTTTTCATCGATTGGAGAGGGAAGCTGTCGCTTACTCGCTTTAATGGGAGGAAGGGGAGCTACATTTATGGTAAGGGAAGCTGTCGTCTTTCTCGCTTTAAAGAATAAAAAATGAAGTTGCCAAAAACTGTGGAAAGGAAGCTGTCATTTTATCCACCGATGGACCAGAAACAAAAACAAAAATGAAATCCTAACATTCGAGTGGAGACAAGTCTGACTCAGCAATTAACAAAAAGAAAACCCCCAAATAAAACGATCAATTTTTTGCCCAAAAAAAAACAAAACGATCAATTTGTTGTACAAATACGTATAAGTTGATTATTACAGTTATTTTTTGTTTTTAATAAATTAAGGTTTTTGGTAAATAAGTCTTTCAGAGACTTTATTCGATTGAGTAAACGATTACGGTGGTAAAATGGTAGAAAGGAGAATTTGTTTTTACATATAATCTCCCTAAAATTACATAATGAAACAAATAAATTTATTTTTCCCAGATGAAGGAGTCAGAAAAATATTATTAAGGAACAAACAAAAAAGATGAAATAACACAAATATAAGAAAATGCAACAAAAGTCAATTCAGTCAAATTCCTCAATTCAACAATTATCTTCTCAACTGGAGTCCATTCTTTTTTTTTTCAGCCACAACCCACAATTCTGCTGTTATCATGTAGTGCCAAATGTGCTTACGTATAATTTGATTATTACGGTTATTTTGTGTTTTTAGTAAATTAACTTTTTGGGTGAAATAAGTCTTTTTTTTTTTGTTAACTGGATATTCAAATTAAAAACTGAAAATAAAAAGTTTTACAGAGCCCAAGATATCAGCCCAGTTTTGGAAGCCCAAAAATTACAAACCAGAAACTCATATATTTAGAAAAGAACCAGAAGTTGAACCGCAGAGTTAGAATCAAACCAGTAAGGTGGTTGGACGAAATGAATACCGTACCAACCGAAAGTCGAGCTGAGTTAATGGTATCGTAGATCCAGTGAGAGGGAGGAGATGAGAGTTTTCTACAGTTCTGAACAAACCAGGTTTACGCCGCCTCTCTCATAAACCAGTGCTGGAGGAGGCTCGATGACAGAGCTGGGTTCGTATCTCTGAAGCTTAAAGCTCTGTTTCTCACTTGTTGATCAATTTGTTTGATGATGAGAGAAGGGGACTTGAAACTATTCTTGTGAAGGCGATTGTTTCTTTCAGTCTAGATGTTGTATATCGTCGCTTGCCATGCAATGAGCAGCAACTTTCGTTTGATCCTAGATCCCGAGAAGTTACAGAGGTCATCTATCGATTCAGTCCAATCTCGGCACTGCAGGTGAGAGCAGCGATGGCAGATTGTCCTCCAGATCGACTTTATTCGATAAACGATTATGGTGGTAAAATGGTATATAAAGGAGAATGTTATTTTACATACATTTAATTCTCTCTAAGAAACAAAGTTTTACGTACACTTTATTCTCTCTTTTGGGGCAGTTTTTTTTATAGATAAAAATAAAAATAAACAATTCAAAATAGATAATTTTTTTAATCAAACAACTTATAATAAGTTTTAATATATCATTAAAATTAGAAAGTTAGACGTACGATGAGGTCATTTTTCTTTTGAAATTATCTTCCTCGAGTTTAAACAGAGATTTGGGTCCTATTTTTGTTATTACTTATTAGGGTCAAAGAAAGATGAAGCAAATCGTTATTATTACTATTAGTATTAGTATTAGTACAAATTCATTTTTGAACTCCCAATAATAGTTTTATGTTAAAAAAATCGGAGTGTTGTCATGAGAATGAAGTGTTTATCTTTTAACGAAAAAATACTTCATTAAAATCGGAGTGTTTTTCATTTAATGAAGTGTTTTTCTTAACCTACATGTATACTATTACACTCACTCACACTCCACATTCTCACATAGGCGACTTATCAGTTTTCTGCTTTAGAATTTCGGAGGGACATACACGATTTTTGAAGAAATAAAATCTCCTTTTCTTATATAAAGCAAAAGCATTAAAGGTTATCTCACGGTTGATTATTAAATAAAAATCAAATTAGGAAAAACATTCTTTGGCGAGTTCGACAAAAGCAAATGTGAGAGAGAAAAAGTCATCAGACTTTATGGAATTATTAGTTTATTACTACTTGCTCATATTCCATCGTATTACCATTAGGTTATTTAAATTTAAACTTCTTTAATCAGAATTAGAAATGGGCCCACACATTGCTTTGATGGGACGCCCCAGGCCGTCGCTTCTCGTCTCTGTTAGATTTCTTTCTGTTTACAGTCTGTACATGTTATTCAACGACGTTTATGCTGATTCTATCGAGAAGTTTGAAATAGAAGAATCTTTGAGTCTTACTTTTCTTTATGGACTATATTTTGTTATTTATTGGGAATAATTAAAATATTAGACTAATCTTAGGTTTTTGTAATTCAAACAAAAAAAAATCTGTTTTTAACAGTGTATATTGAAGTAAAAAGTAGAGTAACCACACAAAGTGTTTTTTTTTACCACACATAAAGTGTTCCAAGAAACAGAGCAAGAAAGCATGAAAAGATCGAGCATAATGCATTGTTTTTAGAGAACGTAATGCCATTTTAGCATGATTTTATGAAGTTTACAGTTTCCCATTATTAAGGTATGATATTCTGTTAGCCTATAAAACTTACATGCGCAAAAGAACATCATGTAATTACTCTTATTCGTTTATAGTGTTTTCCTAAACAATGTATTTACTGTATTTATATGACTGATCATAGATAACAATGTAATTTGCGATTGAAGTTATTGAAATGACCGTTAATAAAAAAAAAAAAAACAGAAATGCATAAGTAATAATTTTACTAATCATGAGATCCTTATTGGGTTTTTTACAACTATCATATTTGTTTTCTTGTCCTATTGATTGGTTGATGATCCGATATTAGTATTTGCCTTGTTTAGAAGAATGAGCCGTTGGCCTCTTATGTTTAAATAAGAGACGCGTCTTCAACTGAAAGGCACACACGTACATGCAAATTCAAAGAGAAAAAAAAAAGAGTTTTATCGCTTGGAGGTTGGGCAAAACAAAGAACGTGTGCCAAATCATATTTCAGATTGAAGTTGTATTCGTAGTTGCTGCTTAGAAAGAGGTTTTCTTGAAAAGCGATCACTGCCGGTGTGAGAAGCACCGATCAAAGACTTCCGCAAGAGAAGACGGACTTGACGAATGGGAGAGTATTCTTTAGATCATAATCTTGTAGAAATTAACATATCTTCCATGTTTCAGTAATCTTGTTGTAACCTAAGCAATTTCAAGCAAGTCACCAAGAACCGCTAAGATCACTTTTGTAAAAACATGAGCAAGCTGGATCCCATCGACTTTAACCAAACACTGCTGTAATGACTACAATCAGATCAACGGTACATATTGATCGCTCAGATTGTCTCACGCCGGACTCTGCAAACTGTCTTGTACAGAGTACTATACAATTTGCCGGAAACAAGTGTGAGCTCCTTCTGACATAACAAAGGATATGACGTTAAATCCTGTTTTAGATGTTACCTGACTGTTCAGTAGGTTGTGATCTTGGCTCCTCTGTTACAAGTGACATAGCTTTTATGCGTTTGACATTAAAAAAAAAACAACATAATGTTTTGAATCTATCGTACAATGTTCGGTCCTGATTATATAAAGCTTAACATAGAATAACATCACACGTAAACCTGTCTCACTCTATTTATCTTTGATTTTCGTATATCTTCTTACATACACGTGAATTTGTATACTAATGACACAACATATAGCAAATGTTCTTCACTTCTTCCAGTATCCAAATTTTTTTTGTCTCGCGTTGTCACACGATTCGAACCACTCGAACTCTGCTTCTTGATGATAACAACTCGTTCAATCTCGTAATTTCAAGCATCAGTTCCTTTATTTTCTACCAATAATAAAAATTCCGTTTCAAATTTCAAATCTTTAAAAAATTACTAAAAACTCCAAACTTTACACAAACCTGGTCTTTCTCTCTGAGCAGAAGAAGCAGAAATCTCAGCTTCTCTTCCTGTAATCGTTTCCACCATCTCACGAGCTTCACATATACAAGGCTCGAGACCAAGGACAAGCCACAAATGATTGCTTGGCCTTCTTCTGCTTCCTGGCTTCTTTATCGTCAGGCTTCGATGACCCAAATTAACAACAACAAGTTTAGATTAACAAAAAAAATGTATTACAGCAAAAGAATCTCACAATCACGATTGAAGAAACGGTATCTTAATTAGTCACCTATCTTGACCTACTTAGCCTAGTTAGTTAGGTACACCGATTCAGCCATGAAGGCGACACAACAAGGATGTAAATTCAAGCGAACTGGTTAATTCCTTGTAGGGAAGTTGATAGGCATTTTCTATCTTCCTCCTGAGCATACGCTCATTCTTTCTCTTAAAGCGAATATTTGAATTCAATTTCAGATTAGTTTTGTTTTTCTATGAATATGATCAAGAAAGCAAAAGGGAAAAAAGTTATTTAAATGCTGAACTTTCAAATTTCAGCCAATCTAAACATTATTTTTTGTGTGATCCATTTAAATAACAAACTTTTCGTTGATCAATGTTAAAATCACAAACTTATATTGACTCGGCCATTTTAGGCACGACGTTAAATTGACTAAACGTCGTTTGGTCAACATCTGTTAGTAAATTCAATGTCATGCCTAATATGGCTAGTCAACATAAGTTTGTGATTTAAAAAATAATCAATATAAAAGTTTGTGATTTAAACTGTCCACTTAAAACTTAATACTTATAATGGCCGAAATTTAAAAGTTTGGCATTTAAATGACATTTTCCTCTTTTTCTACTAACTAAACTTCAATTTTATCAGTTTACATAACTGCAAAATCAAGTAAATCCAAACTAATTAAAATATATATTTAAATATAAATTAAATTTACATTACACCAAAACAACAAAAAGTAAAAAGATTGAGTTTAACTTAAAAAAATTAATTTAATCACATCTAAGGACTTTCTAAAAATGCAAATCTTACAAAAGATTGTGATACATAAATGACTTGTTGAGTGCAATCCATAAATTAGGGAAGACTATCGACTAATTGCGTGTGACTAATGTCTCCATTATTACGATAACTTTCACATTTAGCTATTTACATAACTGAACTATAAAAAAAAAGATTTGTTTTGTGTAGTGTGTACATTTCATATTTTTTTCTTTTTAAAAGATGCCAAACATAAAAAAAAACTTGTTCTACTTTGTTAGCACTATCATAATAGGATATTCATTTGGTTTACGTTTAGTATATAGAAAATCTATAAAACAGTGATCATTTATCGTCCATGATCACATTTTTACTGAAAGATTCGAGTTTCAAATTGTGGAAGAGAACTGTAGTAATCTTATCATCTATTTGGGTTTTGTTTAGAAAATCACATTGTTATGTGAATCGTGTGTTATCTCAAACAACCTCAATATGTTAAGATTAAGTGGCTTTTTCATCAGTTTTATTGCTAATTACAAACTTCAAAAACCTTCAGATTCTTAATCTTTCACATTGTATAATCTTAAGTTTGAAATGTTTTTTTCAATTGAAATAAAAGTTACCGTTTTGTAAAATAAAAGACCTTACACTCTTTTTTCAGCACTAACTGTAGGGCTTTTACTTGTCTCCGTTAACTTGGCCGTCAAGTAATTGATTTTTTATATATAAAAAGGGCTTTCAACAAGTAATTGATCTTGATTATTACATAATTTGTATATGCTCCATTCTGTTGAAATAGATTGGTGAAAGTGTAATTGTACGGTTTAAATTTAGATAGTGATATGACGATGTGCAACTTTAATTGTGAAATAATTACGCCATTTCTTTAAGTAGATGACAGCGTATATCAATTATAGCACAAAAAAAAGTAAAAACGTACAGTATCAATTATCCTTGGATATTTGAACAATATACGCAATACAATACTAGTTTACTGAGACTTAAAACTATTTTTTCGGCGGATTGTCTTAGTTACATGGATTTTTTAGGCATAAACTTAATCTAAAACCATTAATCAATAATATTAAACTATACGATTTAAACTAACTAATTTTGAAAACAGAAAAAATATATATAAGGGTGAGAGTGTGAAACGAACATATAATGTTGCAAAATGGCAATGCTATGAAAGCATAAAATAAATTGGTCCTTAGTCTTTACTATTAAAAAATGTAATTTAATAAGGGTGGATATAAAAAATGCAATGCTATAAAAGGAAGTGTGTGAGAGTGATGTAAGCATCTCTGTGCCATCATCCCCTTTTTTATTGATTAATAAAATCGAATGCTAGTTTGCGCCAAAGACTCAAAATAACGAATAAAATAAAAATGTGTGGATGATGTAGAAGGTTTGATGATGAAAATCTTTATTCGGTAAATTCTTTATTGATGCGTCACGTCCACATATGACTAAGTTGTTGAGTTTAAGAAAAAATAAAGATGACCAAAGTCGATAAACAAAATGTTATAATATATGCTTCTTAATTGCCGTTGGAGGCTCAAGTTGGATATCGTCAGTTTTAAGTAGAAAGATAAATTTTGGTACAAAGTACAAACCATTTCACAGGCAATTACATCCGGAGCCAAAAGTTTTAGTTTGTTGTCAAATACTATATGTGTGTGGTCCGTTGATATTCGAGAGAAAGATTGATTAAAGGGAAAACATGAGTATGGTTTTTTTTATATGTAATTATTTACATTTTTGTGGGTCCGGATACAGTGTTTAAACTATATTTTTGGGGAATATTCCTCTTCGTAAGTAGATTCGAATTAGGAATCTTCTCTCGTAAAATTGCTACGAGTCATTTCTTCTTTTTTTTAAAAAGCTATAAGGGAATCAAGTCATTTGATGGAAAACTTGGGAGTGATGAGACAAGATAAACATTTTATAAATCCATATGGATATTATTGACGTTTTTATACCCCAACCGTAAGCATCATTTTTTTTTAATTAAGGACAAAGGGTGAGGAGATTCCACGTCGGCGGGGGTTTTTAGTCTTTTGACATTGTAGGCACGTGCAGTTTTTGTTTTTATTGTATCAATGTCGTTAATCGTTTTTTTACTTTTTTTTTTTTTCTTTTTGAAAATCGACATTGCTTATTTTTTTCGGCATTGCCTTCTTCATTGCGTCACTACAGATACTTCGCGCGGATTATATTTATAGAAATTATTAGATTAAAAATCATGTGTACTAATAATAAATTACTTGAAAAAAACATATGAAAGATTGTAAACGCATGATTCAATTTCTTAAAACAGAATTTGTCTGACCAACAATTTTACCATTTAAATAGATATTTTATTAGTAGTGAAATCAGGGGAAGGGGCAAAGAAAAAAAAAATGTATAACCCAATCGACCGAACAAATAATGTTGACCAAAAGTCGGCAAAATAAAACGATGACCAAAAGTCTGTAAAAGAAAAGATGACGAATGTCGACAATTAAAAAAATTAGGAAAATAATCGAGAGTGTTACTAACTTTCGCTGACGTCTAAACCAATTAGTAGTAGTAAACCAAATAAGTCATTTTCTTCATCACCGTTGGAGCTGAAGTTTAGATATCGTCAGTGAAAATTTAACAATTCGTTTCTTTTTAAAAGAAAAAGGCAAAATGATTATAAATATATTTTAACAATTCGTACTTCTTAGTAGAGACCTAATTAATTTGGTTAAGAACTAATCTACAACATATAGAAAATGTACATTGGATAAATAAATAAAAAACCACGACTATAAAATACAAAAAAAATACATCAAGACAAATTACAGAATATTTAATTAATTACGTCACAAGTTTTTTTTGGTTTTGCATCTCTTGGAAATAAGAAGCTCACATTCGCAATTGCAAGCCTTCTTCCTTTTTTCCCCAAAATGATTAACAAAATGATTTTCTTTTTCTTCATCGATTTCAATTGCTGCTATAACTCTCTGAACTTCTTCAGCAATTTTCTTGACAAAACCAGCTTCAGAACTGCCATAAAAGCATACATTAATTCATAAAATGTCCTTGAGATGATTTTAAAGAAAATATAATAACAGGAAATGTGATTGGAAAGTACCTTTTGTCTTTCAATGACAAACCCATCTTGTAGGAGATACACTCCAACGCTTCTTTCCACTTCTTGATCTGATCTCCACTAGAAGCTCTCGCTAGCGTCCAGAAGTTTTCACCAAACTCACCCGTCTGTTTCCTCACGTCTCGTGGTCTCACCTTGTAGAAGATCGGAATAACCTGGAGCTTTTCTTTATCCGCAAGTTTCTTCATCTTCACCAACTCATCCATACACCAGCTCGACTCAGCATACCTATAAATCAACTCAATTCTTGAAATCTTATGGTAATCCATATTGATCATGACTTAGGAGTGAAAGACTAGTATACAAACCTGGTAGAGAATATGGCAAGCGCGATCCTCGACTCTTGGATCCTTACAAGGAGATTTTTAAGATCTTTGCCTCTCTGCTCGTATTTGTCCACGAAGAAGTCGATTCCACGTCTTTCAAAGGCATCAATGAGATGACTCACGAAGCTGTAACGCAGTTCCTCTCCTCGGTAGTTCAAGAACACTTGATGTGCCTCAGTGGGAGAGTACATTTTCATCGTTCCACGATACGTATATGAAATTAAGAACTTGACAATTGTTAAAAGTTAAAACCAAAAGGTGATTCTATTTTATCAAAACTTAAGAAATAAGGTGCTTGTACTTTGAAATGCTATCCTATCTATTTTATACTCTCTCTCGCTCTCTAGCTGGTGACGTTGGCCAAAAAAACGTGTTTTATAAGAACTTTGAATTGGTATTCTAACATTTTGCATCATTTGTTAACAACTTATTACTAAAATCTTCAGAAATATTTTCTAATTACTTTGATTTTTTTAAACCAATGGTTTTAGTTTTGAATCAAATCACAAGTCTTTTCTTTCAATAATCGCAAGTTCATGATGTTCGATTAATTGATTCTTGATTAAACATTAAGGGGGAAAAACAATTTGATTGAAAAAGATATTTGAATATTTTTGTTCGATCAAACCATGTTTTAGTTCCAAATAGAAATATCACTTCTAACAATTTCCATAGTTAACATTTGTCGTAGAATAGAATAATTTTCCTGCACTTACTAAATTAAGAAAAACAATATATATAATATATATATATTGTATTTTATTTTCTGAAAAAAATTCAGTTCAAAATTTTTTTTCCAAAACTTAATTTCACAAAAACATTTTAAAACTCATTTTTTTCAAAATCTTATGTTTTTTCAAAAAAAAATTGCATATATAACTTTTCAAATTTTAAATTTTAAATACTTTTTTCAAAAATATAATGTTCAAACATTTTTTCAAAACTTTTTTCTTTAAAAACTATATTTCACAAAAAAAAATTCCAGAAACATTGAACATATATATATATATATATTATAAACATTGAATTTAATATTTGTATAATTGTATTATATACTATTTTAGGATGGACCCATACGTAATCGGATCCGCTAGACAAAAAAAAAGGCTTTAAAAAAAACCTTTTCCACGCCTCCGACGTTGTAGAGGTGGACATCTTTCAATTTGGTTTTGGTTGTTTTTTTGGGTTATAGAGATTCAATTTTGTTTAAGTTGATTTGGTTTTCCACCCAAACAAATTATAACAAAAAATAAATTTAAGCAATTAATCTTACATAATATTATAATTTTTAGTATATTTATATGTAATTTCTATGATTCAGTTTAAAATATTAATGTTTTATAAATTTTGGCTATTTTGGTTAATTCTGTTGGTGGGTATCGGTTTGGATAATTCAGTGTAAAATATTATATTTGTTCGGGTTTAATTTATAACTAGGTGATCGGCATGCAGTGTGTGCAGACAACAAAATATTTTATATGTTGAATTATGATTATAGTATTGAAGATGTTTTATTTATATATGATTAATTATGTATTAATAATAAAATAAGAAACATTTTATAATAAAAATAATGACAAATTATATAAATTATTATATATTTCAATAGAAAATAAAGATAAAAAAATCTTAAATAATATTTTAAAATATTTTTTGGATAAAAATATAAATATAATAACTAAATAAACAGAAAAACATTAAAATATATAATAAATTTTTAAATTTTATTTTCTGCAACCGTTATGTTTTTAGACGATGCAGTTATAAGCGTTTAACAACAATCACGAAAACCGTTTCTATCATTTTGTATTTAATCAAAGTTTCTTATTTTTCAGCTTTTGATGATATATAGTTTCTGAATAAAAATATTATAAAAATTTGTTATAAAATTTGTGAAATCATATTTTATAAAATTCTCTTGTAGCTCTCCCCTCATCTCTTCGTCAATTTTTTTTTATAATCTGTAATCGCTCGCTTCTACAAACTCTCTGAAACTGAATCGTTTAAACCAATCGGATCTAAACTTATATGTATGTGTATTATTTATGGTATAAAATAATATATTTAATATTTGATTGTTATTAAAAATTAAGAGTTTATATGTTCTTAACTTTAATATATATGTTCATATAAATTATAATTGATCACAACATATACAAAACATGATTTATGAAATAATGTTTTAATATATTAGAAAAAGTATATATATTAAAGAATTAATATGTGTAAGATAATATTTTTAAATATTAAAAACTTAAAATCAATCAAAATTATTCTTATTTTTTTGTCTTTTTTGACTCATACTTTTTTTTTTAACATTTAATAATATATTAAATATTAAATTCATCCCCAATATATTTTTCTATTTTTTCTTCAAAAATATAAGTGAAATTCTCTCCAACCTATTTTTATTTTAGAGGAAAAAAAGTTGTTATTTTTTCCTCTAATTATATAGAAAAAAATAACAACCTTTCTGGTTCTTCTAAATTAGAAAATTTAAAATAAAGGTGGTTGAAGATGCTTTAAACCAAAAAAATAGCCTGAGATTTTTACATAAAATCAAAATCATAAGGGATTTTTGCAAAAATGACCTAAAATTTGATTTGAATTGCAAATCTAACCCACAAAAATCACCTTCCCAACATTTGCCATTTTTTATCCAAACAATCCTTCATAATTTCAGTTATTCACGAAATTGCCATTATTTTTAATTAATTTTTTTTTATTTTCAGAAATCCAAATGACCAATTAATCCTCATATTTCTCACTTATTTACAAAAATGCTCTGAAAGTAGATTTCTCTCGGTCCGAATAAAGTCTATTAGTCAACGCCTATGTTAGTTTTGCAATTAATCGCATGAAAAAATAGACTTCTTTTGAGTATCGGTTTGGATAATTCAGTGTAAAATATTATATTTTATTCGAGTTTAATTTATAATTCAGTTTGATTCAAAATATTTGGTTAGTTCGGGACGGATGCATGTATAAAATCCTGGTTTATTAAGATCCATGTATTTTTTAGGCCCAAAAAGGGTATGCCGGAGCAAAGGAAAGAGAGAATGTCCAAACCAGTGTCATTTAAATTTGGTCAAACGGAAAATGTTGAAACTGACGAGTCAAGAAGATACTCCTCCGAGTCAGTGACCGAATGTAGGGAAGAACACCGAGCCATAGTTTGCACTCTTCAGACTGTAGAAGTTGTAGAAACACTCTGTAGAGAAGTTTGATTGCAAGAATTAGCTTACCAAACACTGCTGTAATGACCTTGAGCATTCTCATGCAAGTCATCAAGAACCGCTAAGATCACTTTGTCAAAACACTTCGACCATACACTATGAGCAAGCTTGGATCCCATCGACTCTAACCAAGCACTGATGTAATGACTACAGTCAGATCAATGGCACAAATTTGATCGCACAGAGTACACAATTGGCCGGAGACAAGTGTCAAGTTGTGAATCTTGGCTCCGTTTATGCGTTTGACATTCATAAAACAAGCATAATGTTTCAATCTTTCATACAACATTCAGTCCAGATTATAAAAAGCTAACACAGAATAACATAAAACGTAAACTGTGTCCGACTCTATTTATCTTTGATTTTCGTACATCTACTTACGTATACACACGTGAAAAGGTATGTCTGTATATACTAATACATAACAAGTAGCAAATGTTCTTCACTTATCCTAATATACAATATCTATTTGTCTCGCGTCGTCACACGATTCGAACCACTCGAACTCTGCGTCTTGATGATAACAACTCGTTCAACCTCTTAATTTCAAGCATCAATTCCTTTATTTTCTACAAATCATAAGAACTCCAATTAAATATCGAATTTTGAATCTTTAAATTTACTAAAAACTCCATACTAATTTTACACGAACCTGATCTTTCTCTCTGAGCAGAAGAAGCAGAAATCTCAGCTTCTCTTCCTGTAATCGTCTCCACCATCTCACCAGCTTTACATATACAAGGCTCGAGACCAAGGACAAGCCACAGATGAGTGTAAATGACCATAGTACCCTTCTACGAGACAAGTAATTGCAACGCGCTCTCTCGACGGCTTGGAAGAAGAGCATTGAGTCCTTCACCAATCGCTTCTTGAAAGTCTCGATCACGCGCCATGGCAGCGATAGATTCACGGCGGAGGAGGATTCGCCTTCTTCTTCATCTTCTTCTCCGACGATGGGGACAACAGCAGCATCTTGATCATCATCGTCGTCTTGCGGATATTGACGGCGGTGGCTTGGTTGTAATATCGGTGAGGTTTGAGGGGTAGATGCGTCAATTGGTGGGGATTTGGGTGACGTTTGTATCACTACCCATTCACTGAATTCTTCTTCTTGCTCTGCCTCTTCGTTGTTCATCATTTTTTGGATAATTTTCTGCCTTTTTGTGTGGTTGTTTATATGACGTCGTTTTAAAGGTTTTGTCATTAAATTTTAAAATCTAGTAACGATATTTTTTTCCCTAGTTGAGATAGAAATATCTAACAGAACGATAATGACGCTATTGGTCTCTACTATTTATATTTTTCAAAATATTATTTGGATATATATATATATAATAAAAGTTTATGGCTTCAATTAATAGAAAATCATAAGAAACTGAGTAGAAAATCTGTAAAAGGAATAACAACTGAATAAAACTTTAGAGTTTACACCTAAGCAACATATTTTGAGAAAAAAAGCTAAAAACTCCAAAACTTATTAGATCTTAATTAATGTATTTAACAAATAAGAGACGATAGTTACAAGTAAACTACTTCTTAAAATTACTATACATGATGTTTGGATATTACTATACATGGCTATAATCAGATTACTATACATGACAAGATTATATTAAAATTATATTTAACTTATAGTTGAATATTTTCTTGTAAACCAACTTCTTCTCTATGTACAACGTTTAGATAAAAACTTTAACATTTGAAAAATGGTTTCAAGATTGCATGAATGGTTTATATGATATTCTGTTTTTTGAAAGAGGAATTTTTAAAGTTTTTACAATTTTTTAGAAATTTGTTAAAATGATTTGTTTATCTTTTTTTAGTAATATAGAAAAAAATAGGTAATATTTAACTAAAGATATATTATTCATCTTTTAGAAACAGATTTTTAAAAAAAAATCCAGAACTTTTGAAGTATATGGGTAGGGTTATGTCTGATCTCTATCTGATCTATTTCATTAAATACTCCTAGCATATAAAATATAATCCCTTGCATTCTTCCCTCATTTGTTTTATCTTTTTGCCGGTTCAGACTTGTAATTGGATTATCGGATCTGGTTGACGAGCAAAGTGAACAAAGTTACAACAAGTCTCTCTTCCGGTTTAGAAAAACAATTAAAAAAAAAAGAGTTTGATCCGACCCGACCCAACCTGACCCGATTCGACCTTATCCATACTAATTAGTAATTACCTTCTTGGAAGCAAGTCATGGTCACTAGTTTCTCGATTCTTCTACTAACCTTTGTCTTCCCCACGCGTTTTGATGGCGACGGCATCTCCTCTTCCTCCTCCTCCTACGGTGGATATCTGGGTGGCTCTAACGGAATCGAAGCGGATAATCAACGCCCACTCCCGCCACTTCCTTGCCCTCTCCGTTCTCTTTCTTCTTCCCCTCTGCTTCTCCATCACTGTCTACCCCTCCGTCTTCCGCCTCATCACCGATCAATCCGCCGCCTCTCACAACAGCGTCTCTCTCCTCCGCGTCGGATTCCACGACGATCAACCGCCACGCGCCGATGTTGATACCCAGACGGTGGTCCTTCTTCTGGTTGCTTTCGTCGTCGTGGTCACCGTCTTCAATCTGTTGGCTATTGGTTCAATCGCGTACAGCGTCTTCCAAGGATTCTACGGAAGACCTGTGAAGTTAATTTCCGCCGTGAAATCAGGCTTCACCTCGTTCTTCCCTCTCCTCTCCACTCTGATTTTATCAAATTCCATCGTCTTCGGGATTTTGATTATTCTAGGGTTTGCTGCGTTTCTGTTGACCCGCTTCATCGAGCTCTTCCTCCCGAATCTCGTATCCGATTACGATTCTCCCTACTACCAAGCTCTCATCGCCGTAGTAACGATCATCTGGGTTACAATCGTGATCAAGCTCTATGTCCGTTGGATACTCGCTTGGGTCGTCGTTGTTGTTGAATCAGCTTGGGGGTTAACGCCATTGAAGAGAAGCAAGAGCTTGGTCAAAGGATTGGAAAGGGTTGCTCTGTCTCTGTTCATCTTCTTCACCATAACCCAATCGGCTCTCGTCTGGATCAGCACCGTAGCCGCTTCCGCTCAGATCGACGACGGCGAAGCTGGGCAATTGTGGACAAAAGTCTTCTTCGTGCTCCAGATCGTGATCACGTCGGCGTTTCTAACCATTTTGATGCTGTATAACCTCGCTGCGACCACGGTGATGTATATGTACTGCAAAGCTGTTCACGGCGAGCTTGCTTGGGAGATAGCAGAAGAGTTTGCGAGAGAATACGTGAGCTTGCCTTTTGATGAAGGTAAAGTTCCTCACTTGGTCTCTGTAGCTTACAACAACCCCTGATGGTGAAGAAACTGAAGTTCAGTGTGTGAAAAAGTATGGCTTTTTGTATGATAAATCAAGTTTGTATAGACGTCGTCGGTGTTTGTTCTTGACAATTCTAAGCTTTTGTAATGTGTGTGAAATGATCTAAATTTGTGGCGGTTAGGTTTCTGGTACTGTCGAGCTAACGTTATAAATGCACCAAACTGATTAGTCATAGTCAAGATTTAATTCCATGAATCATTTCATTTTTACAAACATTCTTACAAGAAGAAACATAATCCACACAGAGAAAATGAATTCACAAAATGTAAACTTGTTATCAGAAGAACAATAAAGGTCCTGTAATTTTTGTCTTTTCCCCATTTACAAAAGAATTCACATAAGACCAGAATCATGACTCTGGCTTTAACATTACATCCTAAAGTTTCCTTAAGTATTAAACAAAAGATTTTAAAGTGGAATAAAACATACCTTCTGAAACTGTAATATATCAGAATTTCTGTCCACACAAACCTGTGGCAATTGAGCAAACATGAAACACAATAGGTTTCATTAACCCAACAAAAGAAGAGATCATCAAACTCACAAATGCTCAAGAGCCTTTCTTCTTCTTCTTCTTCTCTCTCAAGTGATTTGCTCTTCTTTTAGCCTTAAACGAGCAATTGGCTGTTGTTGGTTCACGTTAACCGTCGAGTTGTTGTGTAGATTGTTGTTTGGTCTTAACTGATGGCTACTGGTTCTAGAAGCTGGAACGTCGTGGTTATGCTTTCCTTCATATGTTGTTACAACAGCTTTAGGATCATTTGCTGCTCTCTCTACATGTTTCCTCACTCCACATCCAGGTGTTGTACACTTATAGTAGCTCCTGCGAGTACATCAAAGAGCGTTAAGGAAAAAAAATAAGACAAAATGAGAAATTCAAAACTCGAGGACCGGTTTTGAGTCTCACCTCGGATAAGGATTCCCTTTGACTACTTTCTGACCATACTTGCGCCATCTATATCCATCATCTAAGAGATCAACTTCACTCGTCGTTTGGACAATAATTCTAGGCTCTGTCACGGTTCTATGCGATGAAGAAACCGGTTCTGTAACCCTGACTTCTGTATTTCTGCAGCACTCAAAGATTTTCCAAATCTCATCAGAAAAAAAAAAAAAAACAAAACACATCAGAGACGAATTTAAGAGAATCTCTAAGAAGTTTTGTATTTTACCTTCTTTTAGGATCAGGCTCATCCTCGTGTTTTCCTCCCACACTAGTTTCTGCATTACCCACCTCCTCGCTGTCACTTGCTTCAGACATCTGCTCTGTTGTTGTAACCTGACTTGTTTCCTGATCCCTCTTACTCTTGTTGAGACTGCTATTACTGGTTTTAAACTGAGCTGCGACATCAGAACTTTTAGAACTCCCGTTATTGTTCCCGCGCTTTTGAGGAGGTTCATGATTGTGCTGACCCTTGTAAATGATCTCCGTGACTTGTCCATCGAGAGACCTCTCCACTTTCTTCTTGACAGGACACGCGGGATGCGTACATTTGTAATAACTCCGAGGATAATCGCTCCCTTTCACTTGCTTCTGCCCGTATTTCCTCCAGTTGTATCCATCATCAGCTGGTTTATCAGCATTCTGAGGCTGTGACCGATGCTCAAATACAGATATCTCCGAGGTTTCTCTCTGGACCTGCGACGAATCTTGAACCGGGTCTGGAATCTGTGACCGAGGTCCAGAGGAAAACGAAGGAGGCTCAGTCAATGGAGTTTGTTGTTGTGGTTGTGTAGAGGAAGGATATTCGGATTGGGATTGCATTTGGACATTATTGCCTTGTACTGCTTGTGCTGTGACTTGTGCTAATGCTTGTTGGTGTGTCATACCAAATGATCCCTACACATCAATCCACATTTGTATTAGCTAATGATATCCATCCAAGGTAGAAGAAACATGAAAACAAAATCCAAGCAAATACTGAAATACATCAAAAGATAAAAAGAGAGTAGACTCAAAGACTTGAGGTGATCTAACACCAGTTTTTTTTATCCTACACTACAACTCTGGTTCTCTCTTTGACAATGAAGATGTTCTTTGTCTGAAAGTATCCTACTTTTTAAAAAGATATAGCCGGTATAAAAAATTTAACTACTGCAAATATTCAGATACAAAGGGAGATCCCTAATTTATCAAAAACAAAAATTCCCCAATTTTGACCTAAAATGAAGAACATTTGAAGAACAAAAATTCCCCAATTTTCTTCTCATCTTATCCAGCAAAATGGCACAGTATGTTAAATTTGCATCTATAAACCGAATGAAAACAAAAACCGGAAATAGCAACAGAATATCCAAAAGAACCCATAAAGTCCTAAACTTTCAGTTACCAAAAACAGAATTTTGAACAAACGACAAGAACAGAAAAATTCAATGTTTTTGTTATGGAATATGAAAACCACACCTGAATGGGTGAAAAATTCAATTTTTTTGCTAAGGGAAATGATATTCCCACCTGAATGGGTGAAAAAAGACCAAAGAAGCTCGGAGAGTCCAAAAGCGTCGCCGGACTTAATCCCGGCGGTACGGTGAACATCGCCGGTGGCTGCGTAATCATCAATCCCGTTGGTCTGTTTTGTTTGAACCTCGGGTCAACATCACCGCCGCTTCCACCGCCATCGCCGTCGTCACCGACCGAGCTCACAGATGTCTGATGAGCACTAGCGACGACGGCAGCAGCTGCAACAGCAGCCGCCGGAGAAGCCATAGCTCCGGCAAGAAGCTGAGAGAAGGATTTGAATTCGTCAGGATCAGAGAACAAATTGGAGACGAGAGTCATCGGACCAGGACTAAATCCACTAAATCCAACGCCACCGCTAAAAAACATTTCCCCAAACGGCCGAGGAGGAAGTGAAATCGTTGGCCGTGAAGCTCCGGTGGACGATTTTAACGTCTTTGAAAGCTGCTGTTGTTCTTCTTCTTCCTTCTCCGCCATCGATTCCGATTCTTGAAACAAAGAGGATAAAATCTAACAAACCCAACTCACAACAAAAGAAAAAGATCTTTTTCTTTCCTCTGTTTAGTTTAAATAAACCCTTTATGTATCTTTACACAATCCGTGTCGTGTTTCAGTTTCACTTCGCTTTTATCCTTTTCTTTTTCTCTTTCTTTTTCTATAATTTCTTCTTCTGCAGTGTTTTAATGGAGAGATTTTTGAGATTTTTTTTTCTGTCTTCTGTAGCAGATCTCGATAAGTAAAATAGTATAAAAATTTGCTTCGCAGTACAAAGTCTGCGGTGCAGACATGAAAGAGTAATCTCTCTGTCTTTTTCTCCCTCCATTTTATCCATTACTTTATTTTCTTAATTAATTAATCATTTATTCTATCTGATTTAAGTAATTTCCACACAAAAATGAATGCTAAAACAAATCTAACTTGGAAAGGGAAAATCTGAACTTACTTCAATTTTTTTCTATAAAATAAAACGAAGAAGCTCAAGAAAAAATATGCGATACAATTAATTTCAAGTTTTGTGATAATTTTCAATTTTACATTGGTTATTTATTTTGTGTAAAGAAAAAGTGTAGAAGCTATATTATATTTTGGAATTTTTAATGTATATAATAAGCTACAGATTCGTTTAATGAAGACAAGGGGATCTAATAGATTATTTTTTATATATATATATCGTATTTATTTGTTCGGTGTTTTGTCCATTTTTGTTGAAATCGTTTGGGTCTGATTGGCTAATAAGGGAAAGGAGTTTATAAAAAAAAAGCGTCGGTCTATGTCTAAATTACAATTTAGTCCCTGAAAACAACGAGGGTTTGTGCCTCGCAAGTCAACAGCAGCTCAAAGCACGACTCGACGGGTTTTAACCAGTTTGTCGTAACCACGTTATACAAATAGGATTCGTCCACGTGTACACGAAATGGACCCGAGTTATGGTCGGATTAAGCCTAATCATAAGTGCTGTTTTATTAAGACAAAACACATGTTCGCTCCTGCAATGGAATTTTTAGTATTTACACCAACTACTCCTGCCATGAATATTAATTATCTCATGTGATGATTTATGGGTTTTTACTATATACTACGATAATTTAAAATTCGAAATCGGTAATATTTCTTACAGTTTGTTTGGTATAAAATGGTGAAAAAGGAAACGTGTGAGTTAGAGAAAGAGTGAGAGAGTGAGTAAATTTTGCTGGCAACAGAAAAAAAGAAATGAAACACAACTTGACTTTTGGAGGGCCCAATGAACTTTGAAAACGGGCCAAGAGACAATACATCCTTAATATCTGTGGGATCCACGTGGGGCCCAATTCATTCATTGCCACAACGAATCGCGTCTTCACTTATCACATCAAGAAAGAAAGGAAGGGAAATGTGATTGTGAACGCTTGAACCGCGCGACTTTATAAAGTTTGATTTGCTAATCATATACTCAGAAGGCATTGAAACTTTTATAATGGAAACAAACAAAAATTTGTTTTGATCATTTTGTCAACATCTCTTGATCGATTTTCTCCTAGATAATAGCTTAAACGATATTACAATTAAAAAGTGGATTGAGTGGTTTGTGCTCAACAAGAGTGAAAAAAATATACCCAAACCACTAAAATATACGGAATGAGACTTTTTTCGATAACCAATTTTTTTTGGAGTTTTATATTCACAATTTATTTGGGCCGAATATCTCAAGGCTTTAAATGGAGTTTATTGTAACAAAAACATAAACACATTCTTGGAGCAAAGTTTCAAGTCTCGAATGTAGTTGAAAAAAACTTTTGTACTAGTTATTGGTGTTTTTGTTAATTATACTGTTACTTTTCATATGTATTGGTGATTTGTTGCATAAGCATAATGTAGGAAAATGTGAGTTATATTAGAAAAACACTTTAACCAGAATGAGAGTTATATATATACCTCTTCCCAATATGCAAATAAACCCAAATAACCAATATGAGACTTAAGAATAAAATATGATAATAAGTTAATAATCGTTTACCATAAAAAAAACTTAGAACTCTCCAACTACTTTGATGGCGTCATGAGGTGTGTCGTAAACATTCTTAGATCGAGATTTCTTAACACCAGCAGTGAACCAGAGCTTGTCTGATTTTGAGCTCTCGACTGAGATTGTTGTCACTTTAACCCAAACCAACACTTTTGTCTTCATCCCTTCAACACCCATCAGTTTCCCTCTAAGCAAAATCCCTTTCACGCGCGTGGCGTACCTTATCGCTGATCCATCTTTGAATGTGACTTCGCATGGTGAAGAGAAGAAGACAGTGAGTTTGTTCTTTGTGTCGTCGAACTCGTAGCAGATTATGTTTCGTGGGAAGAGTCCTGGTGGTAAATTGTACTCTTTGAGAAGATCTGGTAAGCTTTTGAGTGGTTTTCCTGTTTTTAAAGAGAAACCGAAAAACGAATTTGCAGGTTAGAAAATTGTTAAATCTTTGAGTTTAATCTATGAGAATCAAAAGTTGGTGTTTTACCTTTAAGCTTGTTGAAAACCCATTTCGCTTTTTCTTCAACGGTACTAGAGAAAGTCTGGAAAAGAAACATGAACAAATAATTTTCAATTTGAGGCAATGGAACAAAACAGAGCTTATTGCAAATTCATCCATGCGTCAGATAATTAGCAAAGCCTACGAACACGAGTATAAGTGCAGATCGACCATGCGTCAAATTATAAATAGCAAAGCCTACGCAACATATGTACTTATGAGTTTTGTTAGTTATCTACAGAATCAATGACATAATCAGAAGAAGAAAAAGAAACGGTTTTAGAACTGATATCAACTCAAGAACACAAAATCCTGTAAACTAGGCAAAAGATGTTTCTTGGCTTATCAGTATAGGGCTCTTAGCTCGAGAAATATCACATGAACACACATCACATTGCCAAAAGGTCTTTTCCAGTAAACAAAACTCTATATTGAGAATCATCTTAATGAATATATTCATAAACATGGGGTGAATTCATAATCTTTACTTATTGCTAAAACAGGATCTTGTTGCTACATCAAATTGGTAAACTTGGAACTCATGGATCAATGTTTCACGGGCATACACTACAATTCATGCTCAAAATCGGGATGAAATAGGAAACTCTAGTAAAGAATGACTTGAATGGAAACTCTAAACTGAGAATAAACTTAGTTACGTTAACACGCATGAAGACTCTCTGATACATTCAGTCATAAGCTTATAGCTGAATTCAAAATCTGTGTTTTTGCTAAATTTGGTTACGATTCATGTTACTACTCAAACTCGGGATGATACATTACTAACTGATAATCTTAACCAGTTTCAAGCTTCGTTTCGAGAAATCCATCTCAGATCTTGCTAGATCTATGATTCTTCTACAATTTCGAAACATCCACTGACACCCGATTTCAAAAATGAAATCTTTTATTAACCAGCGCAAAAACCGACCACATTACACCAAATGGAACCAAACCCAACAATTACACACAGGAATCGCATGCATCCAGAAAAAAAAAAACAAGAAGAATCAGCGAAAATCAGACAGGAAGATAGAGCACTCACAGTGAGGTCATTGGTGATGTTAGAGAGCTCTTCCTTGGCTTTCTTAGAGATCCATGAACCTCCGACTTTAAAGCTCGTTACTTTCGTTAACGCCTTCTCCATTTTCTTCTTCTTCTCTCTCTCTCTCTCTCTCTCTCCGATTTTCTCAGAGAACTAAAGACAAAGAGATTTTAGCTATAAAAGCTTAAAAAGTGACAAAGCAGAGTGAAAGCGGCGACTCACATTTTTCCATTGGCCAGCAAAATAACATACTAAAGTTCGAAGAAAAATTAAACGAGGGCGTTTTCGTAATTGCGTCATCTATTTTTACCTTAATTAAAGTTCCGCTGTTTTTGGCCAATATTTCAAATTACGAAAAATGTTTTAAATACTTTAGTGGATGAAGACGAAGACTCTCTAACCGTCTAATGAATTTCAAATTTGCTCGAACAAAAGTTTCCATTTTTTTCCCAGAAAATTTAGTTACTTGTAAAATACAATTGGAATTAACTTAAATATTCATTTGTGTAAAAAAGTGCAAGCTTAGTTTTAACGCGAATAATCGGATTGGATGATCAAAAAGGATGCGGTGGGCCCATTAAAAAGCCCATATAACGCTATCTCCAGCTCAGAAGCTAACAGATTTTACTCAAACACTTGCGTCTGATGCAATTATTAACAATCCAATGATTCGAAAATCATTGAGCTCACGCAGGATGATTACAAAATATATTTTTTTAAAAAAAGAATCGTTTTTACAAAGCAACGCTCAATCTGAATTTCAGTTTAGTTTTGGTTCACTTTAGTACAAATCAGATCGATTTAACATTAATCACATGGCAAATTCACGAAAGCTACAAAAATAATATATATATATAAAATTAAAAGTTCATAATTCACAAACGTAAATCAACCGTTTATATCCATAAAAGATTTAGCTTTCTTGTATGCTTCATCCATATGTTTACGAAACCGATTCACATCTAATCTAACATCTTGTTCTTTTAAATACACATTCATTTTAGTTGAATTCCAATCCATTCCTCTAAAAGCAATCGGATTTTTCAAAACCAAATCCTCTCTACTATACTTCTCTACCAAGCTACTCTCTCCCACGTTAATCGGATACTTAATATACTCCAACTTCATTGCCTTAGCCGGCGATTCGAAACACGTTTCAGCCACCCAACCTAACCCAACCGGAACAATCTGAACCAAAACCGAACCGGGTCTAAGAAACAACAAATGTGTTAATGCCGCACCATGAACCCCGACCATCACGTGGCTCGACTTTACGAGTTTATACGCTTCTCTTAAACTCGTAGTCTTCGATGGTCTAAATATGATTACCTCGAATCCAACATCTTCAAGCATCTCTTTGATCTCCTTCTCGTTTAATATCACTCGACCAATGTTGTTACCATATCGACTGACCAATATGAGACGAGGCTTGTGGGTTATGAGAGATGATAGGTTTGTGTTGAAGGCTTTGTCTAAGAGATTGTGGAAGTCCACTAATGATTTGGAATTGGGTATCTGGGTTGGGTCTATTGTCATAGGCTCATGTGAAATTAGGCCCACGGTGGCTGAAGTGAAGCAATGTGTAATAGAAGCATTTTCTTTGTCTAGTAATATGGTTTTGTGTTTGCTAAACGCACCTAAAACATCGATGTATTTTGGCATCCACCACTTCTTAGGATTCACTACCACAATGATGTAATCGCGGTCGAGGAAAGCCGAGTTGGCGGTGATGAAAAGCGGAATGAAACCGTCGATGAAATCGTGATAGATGCTTCCGGTGTAACCTCCGGCGCTGAAAACAATCGCCGGCGAGTCATGTGTTATGTCACATTGTCGGGTTAGGCCCAGTGGGTCTGAGGTTAGTGTTAGCTCTTTGATTTTAGGCATGATCCAGTTGTCAGTTTTTCTTGGGTATGGCCTGATTTTCTCGACAAGTGGTGCTGATGTGGCGAAGGTGGGGTCCATGATAGTAAAAGTCCCGGTTCTGAGGTTAAGACTACAGGAGCCGTTGATTGAGCAGACATCGTAGTTAGTGTGGGAACGGTCACATGTGATTGATGTTATCTCTTGTGGGGCCTGCTCGATTCTTCTGGATTCCGATGTGGGTTGTAACGTGCCTATAGAGGAAACTTCCTTTTTTTAGTTAAAGGATAATGGTGGACATTTTTAGTCGATTTAAAAACTGTAACACAAAGAAATGTCAACTGAGAAGTAATGAAAATTATTCAGAAGAGGTCTGTTTCTGTTTTCCTACATTTATGACTGGCGAAACATTTATAGTTATCAGTTCTTTTTAATCGTCTTTTGAAACACAATCATTAACAACAACAAAATGAAAATCCAGTTTATAAAACAAAGAGCAAGATAAAATGATAATGCCAAGTAAAAAAAGAAGAATCACTGTAGTAGATCATAGAAAGTTTGAAATCATAAGCCAAGTTTGAGACTAGTTTGGTCAAAAAACGCAAACTACTTTTTTTTTAGACTAGTTTGGTCAACAATCGCAGACGACCGAACTTTTTTTTTTTTTTTGACTAAAAAGACGACCAAACTTTAACAAGAAGAAAACTATGAATTAGCCCCTTCGTCGCGCTCTTGAGAAGATTTCTAAGTTCAAAAAAAAAAAAAAAAAATACTCGCATTCAATCTTTCATTCATAAAAAAACTCACTTGGAAGAAAACAAAATCCAAACATCATATCATGTTTATCGTTGTGTAACGTATGCATTCCAATTTATATCCTAACTGACTTCTTGATAAAAGGAATAGTTGCTGTTTTTTTCTCGTAAGAACAAACATAAACAATATTCAAAAAAAAAAGTGTAAAAGAAGGATTTGAATTTGACCACAGTTTCTAAAGAAGATCGAAGAACAAATGGTAATGGATAGATATATTATACATACCTTGAGGGAAACTCAGCGAACTAATCAACTGAAGATCGGACACGGAGGACAAGAGATGAAGATACATAACCAGAACGATGACTAAGGCAACTGCTGCCACCAAATAACTCTTCGGCGTCGTTTTCATCACCATGACTCGTTGTTGTTGGTGTTAGTATAGTTGATTGGTGTATTGATAATACCAACAAAAAAACCTTTTTGTTTTTCAATGGAGAGAAAAGAAGAAGAAAAATTGTAAGAAGAAGACTCAACAAAATGCAAACGAGAGAATATATAATATAGTAAAGACTCTCTCTCTCTCACTCACATAACCCTTTCTTTTTAATTGTCTACCGACTGCCGTTACGAGACTAATCATTTAGTTGATAAAACCTTTAACCAAAAAGACAATTTATTGATACTATATGAAGATTCTTGAAACAAGAAATACAAATGCATGGGAATACTATATAAATAGACCATATTATTAATAATGGAGTATATCTCAAAATGGAGTGTTACGTTTACAGCTGTTTGTTGTTTTGCTATATCATCAAACTTCGACATATATATTAACCAATTATTGAGATAACAACACTTTTTTAAGTACTTAAAATTTGGTAAACACAAAAAAGGAATTAAATTTATTTACTTATTATTCAACATGATTTTTTGTCCGTCCAACAAAAAGTAGACGGGCCTTAAATTACTCCCATCTTTATATAACATAGGCCCATTAAGGCCCATCGTTTTTCATTTTTTCATCACACAAGACCAACAAACAATTGGCGGGAAGAGCCACGCCGCCGAGAAGCCGTGAACGGCGAAAACAGATGCGACGCTCCGTCTCTCTCTTACCCCAGTGGGTTTCTCCGATCAAAAGATTAACGTTTCAACAGAGATGCGTACCATTTACGACAATCCAGGAACTGATTTTACCCCAAGACAATGACGATTCCAGAACTTTTCTGCATTACGCCGCTCCGATCCCGTGCTTTCGCATTCTAAGCAAGTGCACGAACATTGATTCACTGAGGAAAGCTCACGGGATCTTAAATGTAAATGGGCTTATGGGTGAGATATCGTGTGCCACCAAGCTTGTTAGCCTCTACGGTGACTTTGGGTGTACGAAAGACGCCCGCTTGGTGTTCGATCAAATTCCTGAACCAGACTTTTATTTATTGAAAGTCATGCTCAGCTGTTATTTTCAGAACAAAGAGAGTCTAAAAGTCATAAGCTTTTATGGTTTTATGAGGAGACACGGTTACGATAACATTGTTCTCTCGATAGCTCTGAAAGCGTGTACTGAGATGCAGGATTTAGATAATGGGAAGAAGATACATTGCCAGATCGTTAAGGTGCCAAGTTCTGATAACATTGTGTTGACGGGTCTTCTTGATATGTATGCAAAGTGTGGAGAGATCAAGACTGCTCGTAAAGTGTTTGATTATATTCCATTGAGAAATGTGGTTTGTTGGACTTCGATGATCGCTGGGTATGTGAAAAACGACTTGCAGGAAGATGGGTTGGCTCTGTTTAATCGGATGAGGGAAAACTCTGTTTCCGGTAATGAAGTTACGTACGGTACTCTAGTTACGGCTTGCACAAAGCTCGGTGCTTTACATCAAGGGAAGTGGTTTCATGGTTGTTTGATCAAGACCGGTATAGAGCTCAGCTCGTGTTTGGTGACGTCTCTGCTGGATATGTATGTCAAGTGTGGCGATATAAGCAATGCACGACGAGTCTTTAACGAGCATTCTCGTGTGGATCTCGTCATGTGGACGGCTATGATTGTGGGATACACTCATAATGGACGTGCCGATGAGGCTTTGAGCTTGTTTCAGAGGATGAAGGGGGTTGGAATCAAGCCTAATGCTGTTACCATTGCGAGCGTCTTATCTGGTTGCGGTCTAACTGGGAATCTTGAACTGGGAAGATCAGCTCATGGCCTATCGATCAAAGTTGGTCTTTGGGATACAAATGTTGCAAATGCTCTGGTTCACATGTATGCCAAGTGTTTCCAGAACAGAGACGCTATGTATGTGTTTGAAATGGAGTCGGAGAAAGATTTAGTTGCTTGGAACTCTATAATATCCGGTTTTTCACAAAACGGATCTGTCCATGAAGCTTTGTCTCTGTTCCATCGCATGAATTCAGAATCTGTGACGCCTAATGGTGTAACAGTCGCGAGTCTCTTCTCAGCCTGTGCTTCCCTCGGGTCTCTGGCCATAGGTTCCTCGCTCCATGCTTATTCACTGAAACTAGGTTTCTTGGCGTCATCCAGTGTTCATGTTGGTACTGCACTTCTGGACTTCTATGCCAAATGTGGGGATGCCGAATCTGCTCGTACCGTTTTCGATACTATAGAGGAGAAAAACACAATCACGTGGAGTGCTATGATCGGAGGCTATGGAAAGCAAGGGGACACGAAAGGGTCGGTTGACCTATTTGAAGAGATGCTGAAGAAGCAACAAAAGCCGAACGAATCGACCTTCACATCTATTCTATCAGCTTGTAGTCACACAGGGATGGTTAACGAAGGAAAGAAGTACTTCAGCTCAATGTACAAAGATTATAACTTCACGCCTTCCACAAAGCACTACACGTGTATAATTGATATGCTAGCTCGCGCTGGTGAGCTTGAACAAGCATTAGACGTGATCGAGAAGATGCCGATTCAACCAAACGTGAGATGTTTCGCAGCGTTTCTCCACGGATGTGGAATGCATTCAAGATTTGATCTTGGGGAGATTGTAATTAAGAAGATGCTCGATTTGCATCCTGATGATGCCTCTTATTATGTCCTTATATCCAATTTGTATGCATCGGATGGAAGATGGAGTCATGCTACAGAAGTTAGAAATCTGATGAAGCAGAAAGGTCTGAGCAAGATCGCAGGACATAGCTCACTGGAAACAGAGTTCTCAGCAGTTGGTTAGTTGATAGCTTTACTGGATGAACGAAGAAGCATATATATACACAAAAGCATTCTTGGATAAAGTCGATTTGTTTTCGTGTACGGAGCAAGAACAGTCGTGTTGACTACATCTACAAGGATTATATAATATAACCAACAGGGAACAGCTCTGAGCTATGCTAAGATTCTTGCTTTGGTGTGTGGTCTGAGCTGGAGTCTGCGATTGTGAACTCTTAGGTTTACGTTCTCGCTTTCATCTTAATCTTCGTCTTGTGAATCAAAAGGAACTTCATGCCGAGGTTTGTTGTACTTCTCACGCAGTTGTTGGATTGGGATGAAATCTCCAGCTGTGTCTGCTCCATAGAAGAGAAACGAAATGTATGGATGATCAAACCGTTCCTGCAGAAACCACACAACCATGAGTCAAAACTATTGCAATGGGGATGGGATTATCCACAACGAGTCGTCTGCTCACTTTGTCGGCTTTCTCTGGAGCTAATAGATTGTCTTCAGGAACTGCAATTTAAGATCCAATGGGAATGTCACGGCAGGCAAAAATGAGATCCAAAGGTTATATATACAGTTGAAAACTCAGAGCTCACCGTATGCCACTAGTAGGTCTGGGTGCGAGCGAACATCGACCAGAACCTGCTAGACAAAAGCAAGAAGGTTTAAGATCTCCATGTTTTCTTCTGAAGATACGAATTAAACAGTCTTCGATTGTTCATATGTATTTGTCTACGCTCCAAACATTAGTTTCAGTTTCATTTTTCTATCAATATAGGTCTTTATGAACACTGATATCGGAAACAGAACCTGATAAAATGGCTGATTGGATCCACGAGGCAACTTTTCGACCTCTGCAGCTTCCATCCAGGAGCTTGATTCACAGCAAACTGGATCCATCCCGCAAACCACAGCCCGGTAACCTACAGAACTCAACGTAAGTTCCCCAATATGAATGTAAACCAAAGTGAAACAAGCACTTATTTATACACATGACCAAAGTGTACCAAAACTTTTGTGTCTAAGTTTCTGTCCCAAACGAAATGCATACTCTGCATTCTCAAAAGCCAAGGCTTTCGCTGATACAGCTAACGATTCCGCCTCAAGCTTCGAGATATCATCTCTTAACTTAGCTGCCAAACCATAATCCTCACTGTCAATGGCGTTCTGGAGATCTGCACTGCAATTTAACCCCAAAAAAACAATGAAGACGACATTCTCCAATGTTTACAGACACACAAAGAGAGATAATGTTTGCAAATGTGTCTTGATAACCGAAATGAAACTGCTCACCGTAGCCTTATAATGCTAATACCCTTGTCCTGAGCTTCACTTTTTGACGATGACCCTCGTTTCCCTTCTTGAAGCCTTATCGCCTCTTCTTCCACCTACAAACCACAGATTGTAAGTACAACCAAAAGCAAACATCTTTGCATGATCGAAAGTTCAATACTTTCACAAAAAACTTGTCTCACTGAAAGATCACAACATATCATTTCATATTACCTCAGTAAGCTTTTCTCTTAGCTGTTGCGCAATGTCGTACTGCTCCAGGTTCAACGCATACTGCCATTTTTAAAATACACGAATCATTCAATGTTGTAACAACACCTCAACATCTTAAGCAAAAATCTGTACGCGAGTATTTTCAGCTTACCTGTACGCGAGTAGCCAAGTCTAGCTGAAAGAAGAAGATCAAAATATCCTCATTGGCACTCTCGCTTCGCTCAGAGATCGGGTCTAGACCTTGATCACTCCCTTGAAACGGCCATCTAGCTTCAACCCTCAACAGATTTCTTTGCTTTATTGACTTCCAATGGCTTCTAAGAGATGATGATCCACGCAGGAATCGACACGAAACACATCGATCACCAATCAAACTTGAGGATTTCCATGAATTTAAACGATTCCTCCATGAGCTGTAAACTTCTACACTCCCACAGATTGTTAATGTGCTTAACGACTGACTTTGCACCATTTCTTTTTACATATAGTCACACTTCGCAATCCGATAATCCTTCTACAAAAAAAAGAAACCCAACAAGAATCAGAGAGAGCTAATGTGTATGAGATTCAAAATTGAAGTAAAAGGTGCGAAATCAACTCGAAGAACAAACACGAGACGAGTCAAAAACTTGCGAGTAGACAATAGAAAGTTTAAAATTTGAAAATTCTGGTAACTTACAAGTAATTGTGAAGTTCTAAAGGTGCCGGAAAGACTTTGCCTATCACCGGCAAAACTCGCCGGAGCGAAGGAGAGTTTTCGTCCTCACAGATATTTCTCTGTTTCCTTGTTGAAACTCATAGCCAATGGATATAAATGATCTTTTGCAACTCTTATTGGGCTTTAAGGCCCATTTTAGGCAGCCGAGTTTTTCAACAAGGAAACAGAGAAATATTTTTATTTAGTGTTAGTCAACGTTCAATGTAGTTTATATCTTGACAAAATCCGTTAGATATATATCTTCACGGACACGCATAATAGTCGTTAAGAAAAAGTATGCAGATGTAATAATAAGCTTTTAAAACTAATTTATAATGTTTTAGGACACCAAAGATTTTCTTTAAACAAACAACGCCGAAAATTCAGCGCGGCAAATTAGCCAATCAAGACCCCATTTTTAGGGTTGTCTCTTTCTTCTTCTTCATTTTTTTTTGAAGATCTCAGAGAAGAAATGATGTTGAAATTAACAGCGAAACCCCTGAAAAAGCTTTGAAGAAACCCTACAAAGACAGAGAGAAAGAGAGAGATTTGTATGCTTTTTTTGAAAAACTCTGTTTTTTTTGGATTGCGGTAAAAAAATAAAGGGGAAAACAAAATAGGTGCGTGTGTCTCCAAGATCGGTGGTGCTTGGCGGCACGGAGGCTCCTACATAGCTCCGTCGTCAAAGCACCACCGTACCAGGAGCCATCTACGCGTCGGATCAACCGACGAAGAAGTCAGCATTACATTCAGCGGAAGGCTAAGCACTTTCAGCGGAAACCTCGGCAACCATGGGAGCACGAGGATGAAAGGTCTCTTCAAGCACAAGCCTCGTTCTCCCGGCGAAATCGTTCGCCAGACCCGAGATCTCATCTCCTTAGCCGAGAACGAAGAAGAAGAAACCGACGCGAGAAGCTCGAAACGATTAGGGGTTCGCGCTGAATTGTGCAGAAGCATCAGGGATCTGAAATCGATCCTATACGGGAACAGCGAAGCAGAGCCTGTCCCTGAAGCTTGTCTCTGTTTAACACAAGAGTTTTTCAGAGAAGACACTCTTCGTCCGCTGATCAAGTCTCTTCCCAAACTCGACCTCGAAGCGAGGAAAGACGCGACGCAGATCGTGGCGAACCTGCAGAAACAGCAAGTCGGGTGTCGTCTCGTCGCCTCTGAGTATCTCGAGTCGAATTTAGATGTGATCGACTCGCTGGTCGAAGGAATCAACGAAGACCACGAGCTGGCTCTGCACTACACGGGGATGCTTAAAGAATGTGTTCGTCACCAGGTCGTTGCGAAATACATCCTCGAGACGAAGAACCTTGAGAAGTTCTTCGATTACGTTCAGCTTCCTTACTTCGACGTTGCGACGGACGCGAGCAAGATCTTCAGGGAGCTTCTGACGAGGCACAAGTCGACTGTCGCTGAGTATCTTTCCAAGAACCACGAGTGGTTCTTCGGGAAGTACAACACGAGGTTGCTTGAGAAAGGGAGCTACTTCACGAAGAGACAAGCGTCGAAGCTTTTGGGAGATGTGTTGATGGATCGTTCGAACTCGGGTGTGATGGTGAAGTACGTGAGCAGCTTGGAGAATCTGAGAGTCATGATGAATCTGCTCAGAGAACCGACCAAGAACATTCAGCTTGAAGCTTTCCACGTCTTCAAGCTGTTTGTGGCTAACAAGAACAAACCAGAGGACATTGTGGCGATTCTTGTCGCGAATCGGAACAAGATTCTTCGTTTGTTTGCTGATTTGAGACCTGAGAAAGAAGATGAAGGGTTTGAAGCTGACAAGTTGTTGGTTATGAATGAGATTGCTTCACTTTCTCTTATGGATCTCAAAATATTGGATCTCCCGTAAATGATTTGATGTCTTTCACGTTTGTGTGTTGTCCTGTTTTTGCCCTGTTGGATTCGGTATGAAAATTTGATAAACTTCACATTAGCATAGATTCTCTCTCTCTCATTCTCTAGAAAGCATTTTATTCAAAAAATACATAATTTCGAATTTTGTTTTTTTATTTAACTCCAGTCTTCTCTTTCAACATTGTGATGAATTTTTCTTTCTCCTCATCTGTCATTCCATTGGTAGAACAATCTCCTACTCCCCATTCTGCTCCTCTTAGACAATATTTGTCTTGAATCTCTCTTTCATTCCTGAAGAAGAAAAACAGACACAAAACCATATGTATCCATGTTTCAAAGTTTTGAGCTTTTTACAGTTTTGGCATTTTGAACAGTTTGAGACCAAATGGGTATTATGGATTCAAATGTGGTTAACTTACTTCTCTTTGTTTAGTTTGGAATTCTCGAGTAGCTTCTTGAGAAGTGGAGATTCTTTGAATCTGGAATCGTTTTCAGCGTAGAACTTCTGGTTTTTCGCTGCAATTAAGAAGCTTTTTTTGTTGAATCAGACAAAAAAACACTTTTTTTTTCTTTCTATAAGAATTCAAGAATTCGAAATATTGGTACCATTGAAACGATCAAGGAATTCGAGCTTGGGCAATTCGGGACCGGGAATTGATTCTATACCGGGACTTCCAGACATTAAGCCTGCTTCAGCTGAGCAAGATCCAAACATATACAAATTATGATAATGGTTATGAATCTGATGATGATACACATACTGTATATATATTGAATGGCCGTAGAATCATGGATAATGCAGTTACCGGAACAAGGAGACAGGAGGAGGGTGAGTGAGGCAGCGAGAGGGAAGGTGGACTTGCAGAGAAGATGGTGAAAAGGTTGTGATGATGACGATGACGAGGAGGAAGAGGAGCTTAGAGCCATGGAGATACGAGGATGATGATGAACTAGTCTTGTTTCATGGAGACCGAAGCTTGGTCGAGAGAAAGTCGAGATTTTTGTTTGCATCATTTTTGCCTCTAGATTTTTTTGTGAGGAGGGTAAATGACTTCTTAAGAGATAAGGGAAAAGCTAAAAGCTTTTTTTCTCAGAAATATAATTTATTTTTTATTTTTAAATACCTTTTTTCCTTTTTAAAAAGAAAACACTTGTTTTCAAGTTTCCAAGGGTTCTCAATTGAAGGAAGAAAAAGCAATTAATTAGAGCCTTGTTTGAACATTGTGTTTATAGTTCATGACTTCATATAAAACAGCTACCAGAGAAGAACATGAATTGATAAGACCAAATCTTTTTTCCGGAAAAGAAAACAGAAACATCTTGCAAAAGAATAATCCTTTTTCATTATGTTTTTACTGGTTCATGATATAGAAAGAACAAAGTGTTTAAAACTAATCAAGACTCTTCAAACGTTAGTGTCTACGTTTTTGGGTAAATCAGGGTAAATTTTATCCTTCAAACATAGCCTTAGCAGCATCGATAAGTGCTGGTCGAAAATCGCTAGAAGCTCGGCCTAGAACAGTGTAGCCTTCTTTGTCTTCTACATCGACATCTGCACCATGTCTTACAAGCAGAAACGCAACCTGAACCAATGTAACCAAAGAGAAACCCCCCAAAAGATTTTAAGATACTTTCAGCCATTAAAAAAGATGCCGCTTTTAAGTTTTGATTAAATTAAAAGTTACCTGTCTGTCATCGCAAATCACTGAATGCATGAGTGGAGTTTGGCCCATTTTATCCGTAGCATCGATCTCTGCTCCTTCCTCAATCAGAAATTCACAAAGTTCAGATTTTCCCGTGCTTGCTGCCCTGTGAAGCGGAGTGCAACCAACCTGAAAAGTCACAAAAATTTGGTTTATGTGTAAACGCGAGGTTGTCATCAAACAGAGAAGCAAAAAGAGACATAGAGCTATAAGTACATTGTCTGTGATGTTAATCTTTGCACCGTGTGTTAGTAAAAGCTGAGCAATTTCCAACTTTCCTTTGCTAGCAGCATAGTGAAGAGCAGTGCGACCACCGTTGTTTTTGGAATTTACATCAGCACCTGAACACACAAGATAAAAAAAAAAACCCATCATCAAATGTATCAAGCTTCACATAACTAACATAACATGATGAGCTATGAAACATGAGCTAATCATTGTAGAAGAAGTAACACAGAAAACCCACTTCAACATAGTAACTTATATGCAATAGCTTTCTTGCCTTAAATTCACGGAGGACTATCTTATCAGTTACCACAGAGCAATATATTCAGTATTTGATATCTCATGATGAAGTATAAATGCACAAAAAACTGCTTCAAAGAACGACCATTCAGGTAATATTTGAGCCTGAAGAGTAAATCAAAGATCGTTCGTCTTTTCCAACAACGATAACGAAGACAAACAAGGAAGATTCGAACAAACCTCTAGTCAATAACAGTTCAACAAGCTCAGCATTGCCGATGCTAGCAGCAGAATGCAAAGGAGCCCATCCTTCATCATCTTTACTGTTTTTTACAGTCTTTGAGTCATCTAAACTTGATAACAACTTGACTACCTGCAAATTCCACATCCATAAGCTTTTAAATATCTAAATTTTTCTTCAACCCATTCTTTTTCAAGAGCTCAAATCGCTAACGAGCTTGCAATACCGCAAATTTCTGTGATTTTCAGAGCCAGATATGAACAGTTTAAGACTCAAAATTTCCGTTAAGGTTTGATCATTAGTTAAACAAGTAAACAACCACAATAACGCAAAGTTTACTTAAAATTTCTTCGTTTTCTAGGAATCAAAGAGGTTATGCTTCTAAAGTACCTCGGAATGGCCAAACGAAGCTGAGACATGGAGGAGAGAGCGACCGTCTTCGTTTCTGAAACTCAGAGATTTTGCGAGCTGTTGAGGAGATAAAGACATGAACACCGACGAATCGCCAGATTCCGCCGCTTTGAATAGTTCTTCGTCTCTGATCTGCTTCGACTCTTGTCCCTTCGAAGCATCGGAATCCATTTCCATGGCGTGAGTAGAGGATTTGATTAGAGGATTGTTTTCCAAGTTAGAATTCAGAGAATACTGAAAGTGTGAAAAAAGACATTGACGAGACCCTCAGTGGATAAATATTAAAAAGATAATCTGTGAGAGAGCACAAAAAGGATATACTACAGGTTTCCACCAAAAAGGCCCAATGGATTCGCTTAATGGGCTCATAATTCGTCAAAATGTATTAGTTAGCTCTTATGATTAATTTTGGCTTTAATTTTTCTGTCTCGATCGTAATTAATGTGAGAATAAATTTAATATGTGGGGTCTTAAATCTGGACAAAATCTATTCCATCTGATCTAAATAGGTTTTGTTTTGCAATGTTTTGTAACCTATAGGTTTTTTCATAAGACTTTTGCCCTAGAATAATCCTGTTATTGAGAAAACTTCGTATGAATAGTTTTCTTACTTCACAAGGATTAACGCATTATTAAGAATTAGCCAACAGAAATACTTAATATACATTTGCAAATTCCTCCACCATACACAGATGACAGATCCAACGGTTAATAATTTTAGAAATCGACGACAACTTACTAAAAGTAATAATCATGGAAGATAATTACTAACATACTTATTGTAATCAAACTAATTAAACATTAATCATTTCATAAAACCTTGAGCCATCTTAGCATAGTCTCCAAATCCATGGCCCGATTTCTCATCCCCTTTCTTACCCGCCGGTTCTCCAGCTCCGCCACCGTGGCTGCCTCCACCTCCGACACCTCCGTGGCTGGCTCCACCGCCGACACCTCCGTGGCTGGCTCCACCGCCGACACCACCGTGGCTGGCTCCACCAGAGGAGTGAGAGTGTGAAGATTCATACTTGTGGAGATAATTTTCAGCCTTTTCGAGGTACTGACCGACACCGCTTTTTTCATCGAGCTTACCGTATCTAGAAGCGGCGTCGAGGATATCAGCGGTGGCTCCGGCGACTTTAGCTTTGTCGAGCTTGTCTGTCTCGTTGCGAGCAGCGGCTTGAGCAGCCTCCGCTACAATCTTGGCGCTGGCCATGAGCTCGGCGTTCGTAGCTGGCCTATGTGCTGTTGGATCGGCGTTGGAAACCGGTTTATGGGTTGGATCGCCGTGACCGGGTTTGTTTATGTTGTGGTTAGGCTCCGGTTCTGAGTTTCCCGGTTTCTTGTCGGAGAACTTCTTCTTTACTTGATCGGAGAGGAAATCCATGTTTCTTCTTTGTCTCAAAAGAAAAAAAGTTAATTTTTTGGAAAATGAACAATAGTAACAAGTTATCCGGGGAAGGACATTTATTGAAAGCAGATGAAGAAAAAAATTAGTTATATTTTCTTTGTCCACTAGTTTTTATTTTGCCTTTTTCTTTATCCACTAGTTAATGAGGATATTTATAGTCGTGATTCTTGCACCACAGATTTACCTTTGTATAGTTTCACTTTCCTGCATAAATTTTTTGTTACATTTTCCTCATTTTTGTCCTCTTTTAACATATATCAACTATAAATAAATATAGGTGATGGTGGATATGTAATTTGCTCAAGAATTTTTGTAAGTATAGTTAGTTAGTTACCAGATGAAAAAAAAATATATATAGTACTGTATATGTTGTTAATATAAACTTGATCATAAGTCTCTCTAGTGACGTTGTGTTCGGTTGATTTTAATTGATTACAACATCAGTAGGTGGATCAAGCTTTGATGGGTGGCACGGGAAAGATGGGTCCGATGCCACTGAGGCACTGATCATTGACTTTGTCGGCAGAGTTGTTGTTGGTTAAACTTTGATGGGCCTACTAGAAACGAGCCTAGATAGGCTCATAAAAAGCCCAAATGTAGATATTAGTTCTAAACCCAGCCTTTTTATCAATCATTCAATTGCATCGAAAAGATGTTGTGAAGATGACCTTTACCGAGATCCTTCAAACTTTTTTTGTCAACGAAATGACGACATTGTTATGACATAACATAAGTGAACAAAACTAGATATGTTATATAAAAGAAACACATAAATGTAATGAATGGAGAAGAGAAGAACAACAGGTGGTGAAAATCTCAAAGGAGTGTCATGAGAACACAGATCCTCTTGTTTCTTTGAAATTTCCATTGAAAACATTAAGTTCTGTGTTCTCAGGTCACCCCTTTGAGTCTCCCCTGTTCCATTATTTCACTTTACTATATCTTTTATTCATACTCCAATTCTGTGTGTTATTATTGTAATGCTTTGTAAATATGTAGATCCTCAGACAAAATATTTTACCTTAACAAGCCAATGTCGAGTCGAGTTCATGACCGTTTTATTAAAACCTTGCGAGAAAAGAAATAAAATCATGTTTTTTTAACAAAAGTTCAGAAATAAAACAAAGTGCACATATTCTTTTAAAGGTGGCAAGTCATAAATCAGGTTTGGTTTCAAAAATGACTTCATAATCACTCCGTAAAGCTAAACTGATTTATCAGTTAACCCAAACACAAAACCAACAAACTACAAAAAAACATCAAATGACTCCAAAAACGCTGACTTTTTGACTAACCACCAGCTCCACCGCTCCGACCACCGTCATCATGATCGCCGTTTACTCTTTCTTCCTCTTCCTCTTAATCTCCTCTGTTTATTCCAAAGTGACGATTTCAATTTCTCCCCAAACCCTTAATCGATCTGGCGACACAGTCGTGATCAAATGGTCCGGCGTCGAGTCACCGTCCGATCTCGATTGGTTAGGAATCTACTCGCCGCCGGAATCTCCTCACGATCATTTCATCGGCTACAAATTCCTTTCCGATTCGCCCAATTGGAAATCCGGGTCGGGTTCGATTTCCCTTCCCCTGACCAATCTCCGATCAAACTACTCCTTCCGGATCTTCCGCTGGACTCAGTCCGAAATCAACCCGAAACACAACGACCACGACCATAACCCTCTACCCGGAACTCGACATCTTCTAGCCGAATCAAACCGGTTAACTTCCCGGTCCGCCGTTAACCGACCGGAGCAGATCCATTTAAGCTACACAGATACGGTGAACGAGATGCGAGTGATGTTCGTCACAGGAGACGGTGAAGAACGATCAGCTCGATACGGAGAGGTCAAGGAGAGGCTCGACAACATTACCGTAGCGCGTGGAGTTCGGTACGAGAAGGAACATATGTGCCACGCGCCGGCGAACTCCACAATCGGATGGAGAGATCCAGGTTGGACATTCGACGCCGTCATGAAGAATCTGAAAGCAGGGATTAAGTACTACTATCAGGTATAAATTTCGAAACTTTAAAAGTGTTTTTTTCGAAAATCAAAATGTTAAAAAAGAGTTTTGATCAACATATGAAAAATCAAATCAGGTTGGGAGTGATTCCAGAGGATGGAGTGAGATTCACAGCTTTGTTTCTCGAGACGAGAACTCAGAGGAAACTCTAGCTTTCATGTTTGGTGATATGGGATGTTCAACACCTTACAGAACATTTATCCGTGGAGAAGACGAGAGTTTATCAACTGTGAAATGGATCTTGAGAGACATCGAAGCTCTAGGTGATGGTAAACCTGCAATAGTCTCACACATCGGAGATATAAGCTACGCGCGAGGCTACTCGTGGATTTGGGATGAGTTCTTTGCTCAGATTGAGCCAATAGCTTCTAAGATACCGTACCACGTGTGTATCGGTAACCACGAGTATGATTGGCCTAACCAGCCATGGAAACCAGACTGGGCTGCTTATGTTTATTTTTCAGACAGTGGTGGAGAGTGTGGAGTACCGTACAGTTTTAAGTTCAACATGCCTGGAAACTCATCGGAAGCAACGGGTATGGTGAAAGGACCTCAAAGTCGGAACCTTTACTATTCTTACGACATGGGTTCGGTCCATTTCGTTTATATCTCGACGGAGACGGACTTTCTCAGGGGAGGGAAGCAGTACCGTTTCTTAAAGAGTGATTTAGAGTCTGTGAATAGGAGCAAGACGCCGTTTGTTGTTGTTCAAGGACATAGACCGATGTACACTACGAGCACCAAGGTCAGAGACGCTGCGATAAGGGAGAAGATGATCGAGCATTTGGAACCGTTGTTTGTGAAGAACAATGTGACGGTTGCTCTATGGGGACACGTTCATGTGTACGAGAGGTTTTGTCCGATTAGTAACAACACTTGTGGTGAACGTTGGCAAGGTAAACCTGTTCATCTCGTGATTGGTATGGCCGGAAAAGACACACAGCCGAGTTGGGAACCGAGACCTGATCATCAGGATGTACCGATCTTTCCTCAGCCTGCTCGGTCAATGTACCGTGGAAGCGAGTTTGGGTACACTCGTTTGGTCGCTAACAAGGAAAGACTCACACTTTCTTATGTTGGGAACCACGACGGAGAAGTTCATGATGTGGTTGAGATTTTGGCTTCAGGGGAAGTTATTAGTGGGACTAATGATGATGATGGTGAAGAGTCAAACTTTGGATCTAAATCTGATTTTGCAGTCTTCTGGTACATTGAAGGAGCAAGTGTGATGGTTTTGGGAGTGGTTTTGGGGTATCTTATTGGGTTTTTTAGTCGTGGGAAGAAAGAATCTGGAACTGGAGCATTTACTAATGGTCGATGGATCCAAGTGACGAACGAAGAGACATGATTCATCTGGCTTGTTTTTGTTTGTTTGCCTCACAGATTTTGTATAGTATATATATATACTAGTACATCCAAAAGTATATCAGGATGATGTTCAGTTTTTGTTTTATAAAGAAACAGTAAGCAAGGTTAGTTTAGTCATAATCAAATACAAAATTCGGATATCATTCCCTTTTTTTTTTTTTTTTTTTTACAGCAAAATATACAAAGATTATTAACTAAATAATCTTGAGGTATCAAAATCTAAAAGAAAAGGGTTCCTGGGATTTTAAATGGCCTTTTCCAAAGTCAAATCAATCAATCAGGAGTCCCTTCTTCTTCAACCTAAAAACCCCAAAAATATTGCAAGGATGAAACTTTCACACTTAGCAAAATAAAAAAGAAGAAAAACCTGCAGAAATCCGGAGAAGAAAACCTTCAACTACTTCCCCTTCGAGTTATCATCATCACTATCATTCTCTCTCCATTCGTCCTGACCAAATATCTCCTCGATGATGTTCGAAGTTGGAAGAAGATCGTTGTTCTTGGTCCAACAATCCGATGTGAGTCTCCGATCACAAGCATCATCAAATGAATACGAATCATCACCAGATCTGTGGCACTCTCTGTTTCCAATTGGGCTGTGAGGGAAGATCGCATTGGAGTCCTGTAACTCGAAGGACATACACGAGTCGTCTTCTACATTCATCTCTTCACCAGCACCACCATCTCTTGAAACCTTATCCATATATACACAATGAGCATCGTTGACTGGTGAATCTCCTTCTTCATCATCGTCATCATCATCATCATCGCTGCTGTTGGTTTCTTCTTCTTCTTCCTCTTCCTCCTCGTTATCTTCATGTGAGGAGCTTTTTCCGTTGCCGTCTTCCTCCTCTAAAGTTTTGCCGCTGCAGAAAACGTCGTATTCTACTTGCCACTCGTCGTCGTCACTGTCAACGTCTAGGGTTTTAAACCGGTTCTGGATTGCACGTCTCCGCAAGATGAAGACGTTGAAGTAGTAGCTAACAAGCTCCTTCACGTTTCTCGAAGGAAACGTCGCCTTTAGCTGCTTCCAGAAATCACGACCCAGGGAAACAGGGTTGGAGTACACAACTTTATGAAAGAGATCTTCTTCGTCTTCACCCCACAAGCTTGTAACTTCGTCCCCCATTTCACATAACCCTAGCTCCATAAACCTTTCGTACCCAATAGTTTCGATCAGGCTCTCTCTTGCTTCCATGAGATGTCGCCGCACGCATCTGACGGATCCTTTATCAGGGCAAAGACATTCCTTTCGTCCTTGACCAGTAGTCTCACACACGTCTGAGTCAGGCATTGGTACGATGCACTTCCCCATCAGCTTTCTTTCCAACTCATCCTTAGCGCGAGCCTCTGACGGATCAAGAATCACTTCCTTGACGCATTCAGGGATCTCAGCCTGGTGATTAGGCCCAACAGGGACTTGTCTCCTAGGAGCATGATTCATCAGACAAGTATAAACATCCTCCACTGGGGAAAGTGGTCTCCAGGTGACATCTGATCCAGAAGATTGATCAGAGAGAGATGACCGAGTCTGCGCATCATCCTCACACAAACCGGTTAAGATCCACGAGAACGGTTCGTGTGAGTCAAAACCCTTCTTCTCGACATGATTTGCATCATTGGTCCATGTCTGGTTCTTCTCACAGAGACCACTCAGATCCTCCACTGCAAATAGAACACAGTGCAAGAGACGACCAGAGTTAATTTTAACCACGGTAAGTAAACATTTTAACAATCTTGAGAGGTTTGTTTCATTGTACCTAAGGAACCTGATTTCTCCAGAGAAACATGATATGGAAGAGGTTCGTCAAATTGGTTCAGGTGCTTTGGGCTATAACTAAGCTGTCTCGCATGCTTAGCATTGCACTCTTGCATCTCTTCAGCATCAAAAGGTCGCTTCAGTCCCATTTTTTTTTAAAGACCTGAATGGTAAGAACCAAAAAGTCAATTTTAGTCACTTGCGTAACATTTAAAGGTTGATCATAATTTTACATATGGGTTAATTCAGTATTAGGCAAGAGAATATTTGACGTTTTGAGTTTTCTTTTTTTTTTTACCACGGACCCACAATATATCACGTTTTGTTTTTCTAAATGAGTTAAAAAGGATAACAATGCTCAACGAGAGAAAATGATAAAAGTTCTGGTGATTTTAAAATTTGGAGTCAAAAGTCAAACTTTACACATGTGTTTCCTCAATTTTTTTGTAAAAGAAAAAAAAATCCCCAAATATGAGCGAAACCCTAACCCTAGATTTTCAATTCACGACTGGAAACATGAAATCAAGAGTCCAAGAATAAGCAATCAATGAATTTTCAAGACGAGGAACGAAATACCCAAATCAATTTAAAGAACTAACGAACCCTAGGGCATCAAAACCAATTAGGGCAAAGAAATTGGGGGAAACTGGAAATCACGCCGAAATTCGACAGAGATGAGGACAAGAATCGATACCCAGACAAACGCCTAAACAAATCTGCCGTTTCGTGTTCTTAATCGAAAATCCGAATAAGAAAACCCTAGATTTGACCAACTTGAGGGATTGATATCAAAACAGGTATCAATCGAAAGAGAAAATCAAGATCAAGAAGAAAATTACAATTGATTCGAAGATCGATCTGGAAGAAGGAGAGGATCTGAGCGAATTTCTTTGAAAATTTGTGGGAAAAAAAAAAGGAATTTCGAAAGCGGCTAGGGTTACAGGTCGTGTTGTTCCGAGAGGCAGGAGACGTAACCTTATTAAAATCCTCTCCAAAAGGAAGTTACAAAAGTACCCTCCAGTTTAACAAGCACGTGTCCTCAATGCGTATTTAAATTAGGATTAATTATTAAACCGATCCAAACCGAACTAAAATTAGGACTAATGCAACCGATCAAAACCGAACTAAGGAAATCTGTTCCAAAAAAAATTAAAATAGAACCTTAACCAGAAACTAACCAAAATTTTTCTAAAAGTCTTGGCTGCTGGAGATTGCAGTTTTTGTTCTTCTCTAACAAATTTGATTCAAGAATCTCTCTGAAGCTTTTAGCTGTTAGATTCTTACGACTTGAGAGTTGAGTCGAGACTGTATTATACCCTCTTAATTGTTGCTCAGATTTTTAGCATTTATTTTTATTTTTCTGTGTGGCTTTGATCATCAGTGATTCACTGATGTTACCTCTTTATATAGCAAGTGAATCTGGATCCTTTGACTTGTTTCCACTTAATATAAACTGAGATGGAATATTGTTTTTAGTTTCATGATTTGCAAGCTCTGTAGCAACTTTATCTTGATGCACGACATTGATCAAAGGTTACATATGTTGTCCATTATATTGCAGGGAATGTATCAAAGGAAGGCAGATTAGAAATAAGGCGATGCTTCATATATATATATACACAATTACGTACTTGAAGATTCGAGAGGCCCCGATGATAAGAAACCCGAGATTCTCCATCTTTTCGAGATAGACCCCTTTTTGTATGAAAGAGTTGATGAATCTTCTCACGTGATCACATATTCTTGTGGAATATATATCATACCTCGAGAATCTCAGTGGCGACTTCACTCTACGAGCTGGAAAAGGTAACACAAGAATTTATCAATAAGCTTGTGCAAAGAGACTGTTTGTGTTTACAGTGCAAGAAGACTAACTGTATATTACTTGAACGGATAGTATGGAGTCAGTAGCTGCTTAAACTTGATCTTTATGTTCTTTGTGTCATCAAACAAGTACGATTCTTGTCCTTTGATAATATATAATTTTCTTTGGGTTTTGGTTATTATTTACGGATAAAATCAGTTTGTTGTGTTGTAGTAATGTTTGCTTAGTGAGAAAGTGAAGGTACTTAGATTTGTTTTATTACAAAACGGGACATAGGAAAACGATTGCTTTGACGTTTTGTTGTTTGATTTGTCTTTTTTTTTTCTTTCTCTTCACTCGTTTAATCATTATATTATAATAATTTTCATTATCGTAACAAGGACGATTAATAATACTTGTAAGAGTGATAGCATGACTTTGTATGTTTTCTATTTAAAATCTTGGATTGTTTTGCAAAACAAACTTTTTAAATTAATTACTTACGCATGTTGGTTGGAAACTTTTGGCAAACCCAAGTTTGTACCAATATTTGTATGATGGACTTTAAGAATTTTCGAGGAAATAAAATTTAATTTAAAATACTGTTTAACTATAGGATATACAACTCTTTTTAGTATATTGAACAATAACTCGAGAAACTTTTTTTTTTTTTGGGTGCAAATAACTAGAAAAAACTTATGTGTAAGCCAAAGGAGTTAAAGTCTGTTATCATTTTCTCTTGAAACTTATATATAAAAATGGTAAAAAAAAATTGGGATTTTCTTATAGTGAATTCTTATTGCTCACCAACAACAAAATGACAATAATTAAGAAAAAACCTTTTTCTTGTGAATTTCAGAAAAATAATAAAATAAAAGAGACCAAGAGACAAAGAGACCACTATATTAAATGCCAAAAAAGTAAAAGTGCACCACGAATTGCAATTATTCCCCTCCGCTGCTTCTTTCATGACTGTTTTCTTTGCTGGAATTAAATTAACAAATGATTTTTCATGTTTTAAAAAGTTACTTACACACTTTTCCAGATCTAATTAGAATTTAATCACTTTGATTAATTTGACTAATCATCATTTAATGGGACTTACGACTAATAATTTACTTATATTCACAAATAAAAACGATAAAAAAGAACAAAAATCATAATCATAAACGAACTCTTCGCTCAGCAGAAAACAAGCTTATTGAGCGCCCATATAATTGGAATCTCTCTCTCTTTCTCTCTCCCTCTCATTTTGCCATTGTTGGTCGAAAGCTAAATCCTTTTCGGCAATCTATAACTGGTACGCATCTCAAAAACCCTAAATTGATTACCGTCTTTGTCGTGGATTATTGTTTCTCCTGCATTTATTTGTTTTGATCTGATCTCTGATCTCCTTCGCCATTCTCGAGATCTCATCATCAAAACTTCAAGATTGGGTTTTTCCACTGAATTGTTCTCAAGCTTTGATTTTTGTTGTTTCCCCGTTTGAGGATAATGTAATTTTCCCTCCAGGACAAAGCAAAATTCGCTTATTTTTTCACTATCTAATTTAAGTAATGTTTCTTTTTCGGGGGATTTTTGTTTTTTTGATCTGCGAGATTTGTTTGCAGGTGGTTTGATTTTGCTACAGCCCAGATTTCGATTTTTTCCGTAATTGGCATTGCCTGTCTTCAATTGGGTTACCCTCGAGATTTACTAGTTTTGGTTCTGAATTTGGCATACATCTCTCTCCCTCTCTCTACTAGTAGTGCCATTTCCTGATTTGGATCAATAAGAGTGGAAAAACCTAGCCTTGTTCTTAGGATTGCGAGGCACACTTTCCACAATTGTGAAATCTCATGGCTTGATCAGGTAATGAGACTTATGTACTTCAAAATCGAGACTTTGTTAGAATCTTTACATCTCATGAGAAGAAGCGTATGACAAAGCTTCTGTGGACATCAAGAGGAATCATTGGTTTTTCTGCTGCTCACCAAAGGGACGATAGTATCTTTTTTTGATATGAGAAGTCCTTGGTACAAGAGTGTTTCCTCGGTTTTTGGTCTAAGACCACGGATCAGAGGGTTGCTTTTCTTCGTCGTCGGTGTTGTGGCTCTAGTTACCATCATAGCACCATTGACATCGAATTCATACGATGCTTCTTCTACTGCTTCAACACTCGTGCCCAACATTTATAGTAACTATAGGAGGATAAAGGAGCAAGCAGCTGTTGACTATCTGGATCTCAGGTCTCTCTCCTTAGGGGCTAGTCTTAAAGAGTTTCCTCTCTGTGGTAAAGAAAGAGAGAGCTACGTGCCTTGTTACAACGTTACAGGGAATTTGCTTGCTGGGCTTCAAGAAGGTGACGAGTTAGATCGACATTGCGAGTTTGAAAGAGAGAAAGAAAGATGTGTAGTTCGTCCTCCAAGAGACTATAAAATACCACTTAGGTGGCCACTTGGTAGAGATATCATATGGAGTGGGAACGTGAAGATAACCAAAGACCAGTTTCTTTCGTCAGGAACCGTGACAACAAGGTCCTTTCTTTTTGACATTACAGTACAGTTTCCGCATTGTATTTGGTTTCTGTTCTATAATCGATCTTTTTTGCGTGTAATCATCGTTAGGTTAATGTTGCTTGAAGAGAATCAAATTACTTTTCACTCAGAGGATGGCTTGGTCTTTGATGGGGTCAAAGACTACGCTCGTCAAATTGCTGAGATGATAGGCTTAGGAAGCGACACTGAGTTTGCTCAAGCGGGTGTAAGTCTTTCTTAATCTTATTATCCTACAAATCAACTTTTCAGCTCCAGCTTCTGAGTTTCTTCAGGATGCGTGCAGGTACGGACTGTGTTAGACATTGGTTGCGGTTTTGGTAGCTTTGGTGCACATCTAGTGTCTTTGAAGCTGATGCCTATATGTATCGCTGAGTATGAGGCAAGTGGGAGCCAAGTCCAGTTAGCTTTAGAGAGAGGCCTTCCTGCAATGATTGGAAACTTCTTCTCGAAACAGCTTCCTTACCCAGCATTGTCTTTTGACATGGTCCATTGTGCTCAATGTGGCACTACTTGGGATATCAAAGGTAAATTACATCAGACAGGTGTCTCAAGTTTGGTTCGTAAATATGTACGGACATGATGACGTTCTGTTTTTCCCCTTAAGCAGATGCAATGCTACTTTTGGAAGTGGATCGTGTTCTGAAACCTGGAGGGTACTTTGTTCTAACTTCTCCTACGAACAAAGCACAGGGAAACTTGCCAGAGTCGAAGAAAACGAGCATCTCAACGCGTGTGGATGAGTTATCTAAGAAAATCTGCTGGAGTCTGACAGCGCAGCAGGATGAGACGTTTCTTTGGCAGAAAACTGCAGATTCAGGTTGCTATTCGTCTCGGTAAGTAATGATCTTGAGGCATGTTTTTGCTTGGCATTAAACAGCTTTCTTCTGCTCATGCTGTTTCGTTCTTGTGTAGCTCGCAATCTTCTATACCTCTTTGCAAAGATGGAGATAGTGTTCCGTATTACCACCCACTGGTTCCATGTATAAGCGGAACCACGAGTAAACGCTGGATTCCTATTCAGAATAGGTCTGCTGTTGCAGGAACAACCTCAGCTGAACTTGAAATTCATGGAAAGTTTTTCTTTTGATAAACCACTTCATCGTTTCTTTTGTCATTGTTCAATTTTTACTTGGTATCTACAGAATCTAATATCTCATTTTTTTGTGGACATTTCTGAATATTTCAGGTCTAAAACCTGAAGAGTTCTTTGAGGATACGCAAGTATGGAGATCAGCGCTTAAAAACTATTGGTCCTTGCTTACACCATTGATATTCTCTGATCACCCAAAGAGACCCGGTGATGAAGATCCTCTCCCGCCTTTTAACATGATACGCAATGTCATGGACATGAATGCTCGCTTTGGGAACTTGAATTCCGCTTTACTCGACGAAGGAAAGTCCGCTTGGGTGATGAACGTTGTCCCGGTCAATGCTCGCAACACTCTTCCTATCATACTTGATCGTGGCTTCGCCGGTGTTCTTCACGACTGGTGAGTGCATCATCAAAAATGACACTTCTTTTCAGAGTCTATGATCAGATTCTTGAATGTCTTTGTCTATTCGCATGTGCAGGTGTGAACCATTCCCAACATATCCACGAACATACGACATGCTTCATGCCAATGAACTTCTCACACATCTTAGCTCAGAACGGTGCAGCCTAATGGACTTGTTCTTGGAGATGGATCGGATTCTTCGCCCTGAGGTTTATATATAAACACCGTTCTTGTTTTAGTCCCTTAAAAAAGGAAAACTAACTAATAAAAACTTGAACTTTTGTGTGATTGATTAATGTTTAATAGGGATGGGTTGTTATAAGCGACAAGTTGGGAGTAATCGAGATGGCACGTGCACTTGCATCTCGAGTGCGTTGGGAAGCACGAGTCATTGATCTTCAAGACGGTAGCGACCAAAGACTTCTTGTCTGTCAAAAACCATTTCTCAAAAAATAACTCAAAAAAGCAACATCGAAAAGTATGTTTCTTTCACCATAAACAACACTCACTAGTGTCACTACACAGTCTTTTCACCGGTAAGTTTCTCTCTTGACTTGTGGGTCTCAGATCAAATCCTGAGCTTCTTCTGAGGAACCAATCTTATTATTAATTTTGTATACATTTTGTTTTGAAAACAGATCCAAATTATGCCTCCTGTAAATTCTGGAGAGAAATCAATTTTTTTTTCTCGGACAGAAGAAGAACTTTGAGGAGGGTTTTGTAAGAGTGGAAGCTGTAGCTATGAGTAGAAGAAAGAGTTAGATTCAATATTCTTTGATTTTTCTTTTTCTTTTTTCTTTTAATTTTGCTCTTGGAACACAACTGTAGCTATATATATTTTCAATCGTCCAATTTTTGTCTGCTCTTTAAATTTGTAAACGAGATTACTTCTTCTTATTTTATTTGGAAAATGTATTTTTTGAAGGTCTGAGATGATAGTAAAATGCTACAATGAGTATCTAAAGTATTCTTCATCTAGCTAGAGCAAATAGAAATTCGAACTTTAGAAAGTACTAAAGATTCTTTGATCGATGAGAACGATGACTGTTTCCAAAAATTGTCAAAATCTAAAATAAATTGAGTGGAGATGCGGGGGATCGAACCCCGTGCCTCTCGCATGCAAAGCGAGCGCTCTACCATTTGAGCTACATCCCCAATTGTTCTAGTAGAGAATATTTAATTATTTATCTAATACTTAGGTTGCTTTACTGTTTTTGTGTGTTTTACACGGAGGGAAAGAATTAATATAAGCCTTACTCAATAAGGTATGAAACTGCCAGATGCTTTTACATAAGCCTTACTCAATAACAAGTAAAAACATTTGTTAATTTTTTTCCTTTCATAATCATCTTTAACATATCAACAATGCGGTTTCTAAAAATGAAAAAAACAATGTGATACATTATTATAGATATATACCAGTATGTATGTATGTGTGTTACAGAGCATTTTCTCCGTCTGATTCAACAATTGATATTTTTGTTGGTCCAATGATTACGTTGTTGAAGCCCAAATGTTTTTCTTAACCATTTGTCAGACTACGACATTAACAATTACGACAGAGTTTTTCCAAAATCAGGTATTGTTTTAACATTAAAATCTATTCGTTCTCAATTGATTTTTATATTAATTTTTAAATTATGAAATAGGATAATTTTTGAAATTTGAGTTTGACTCAAATATAATAGGTCAAGTAAGGGTATATATGTTGTCAGGGCGGCCCATGGGGCAAGCAAGAGAAGCCAAAGATTAGGGCATCAAAAATTTTAAAGGCATTATTTTTAAAAATATTTAATATTAAGATTATTTATTAATATATTTATATATATATAATTTTAAGTTAAAGTTTATTATAAATTATTTGTAATCTACAATGTCAAAAAAAATTGAATGGACTGATTTTATTATCGATTTTATTATCGACTTAAACAGTTATGATTGGAAAATTATATTATGTGCATTTAATGAATAATTCTGTAAGCAAAAATATAAAGAAGACTATTTTTTAATGATATATATATATATATTATAAAATATTTATAAATTTATTATGCTTGTTTGAAATTAGATTTTTTCTTTTATAAATTTTTATAACTATAGTTTTTTTTATGTTAAATACAATATAAAAAAAAAATATTTTAGATTTGAATAGAACATTAAAAATCGTCGGACCGGCACTATATGTTGTCGATCTTAAAACGATATTTGATTCGAAATGGACCAAATTTTCCATCATTTTGAAAAAACATACTATTAAACATCCCACACAAATTAAAAAATTATACCAATAGCATTAAATAATATATAAGAAATGTGTTTAACCTAGTCATTATAGATTCACTTTGAAGATAAAAATTCATACGACTAATTAATAATTATAATCCCTATTGATTTCGGCTTCTTGCTTACTTGATTACTATAATAAAAATCTTTGAATCTATTTATAAAATCTTAAACTCTAAACCATCAAACTATATATATATATATATATACGTGTATGTTATATATTTATGTAAATTATAGAATATAGATACATGCACTTTGCCACGAATATACACGTATATCTCTATGTTGGATTGTTCGCTCATGTGTTCTGTAAAAAATTATCATGGTAGAATATGCAGATGATATAATAGGATAAGAGCAATAGGGAGCTTTGCATGAAAGTTAAAGCAAGTGAAAAATTAAAATATATTTATATTAAAAAAAGAATGTTCTTAAAAAATAGAAGGTACCTAATTCCCTCAACACATAAACCAGTCATTGTGGAATTCCCTTTGAATTATTAGTACCGAATTCGACCACTCATCTTCTTTGAATAAACCTTTTCACTGAATAAAAACTAATAAATCACTCCCACAAAATTATAATACGAAAAATAACTTTTTCTATTTTGAAAAATATATATGCAAGATAACTAATCACAGATTATATAACATGAGAAAATATAATAACATAAACTTGAAAATAAAATTTACGATTGGTTGGTCGCATTTGTTCAAACCAATAAAATCTTCATCTGCAAGACTCCAACCCTTAACTTTTCTAAAGATTCTTCTTTAGAATCCAACTTTATTTACCTCTTTTTCTTTTCTTTTCTTTTATTTCGGGAATGATTTTTTTTTTTTTTATTTTGTGGAAAAGTAAAGAGTTATTTCTTTTTTAGCATCCCATGCAAAGCACGCACAAAAGAGATTCTCTCGTGACACGTTTCGACTTACCTGTTAACTTTTATTTCTGTCTGAATATCCCCTTTGTCTGTATTAAATACGGACTCCCGAATATTTCTCAGTCTCCTTTTTCTTATATTCTTCTTCTTTTTTACTACATGTTATTCTTTGATTTCAAGATATTATATATTTTCGTATGATGAGTGTTTTGAGATCAAGATTGACCCCGTCGGTCAGGGCGATAAACCTTGAACCGGGTAGTCCGGTCTGGTTATATATATATATATATATATTTTTTTTTTTATAACATTTCTTGATCACTTAAATTCGAAAAAATTATAGCAAAAAATTACGACTTTGCTGGTTAACAGTTCAAATTATATAAAAAAAACTCTGTTGTTAGAGCATTCACTTAAAAAAACATTTTTACTTAGTTCGGATAGTACTCCATTTTATATTGCGGTTCGATCCTTGCTTATTCCAACTTGGTTGGTGTTTGGTTTTAATTTGAGATAGGAAAAGCTTAATTTGTCCAAATACTACACTTGATCGGGATTTTTTTATTGTTTTAATCAGATCATTTCGGTTCAAATACGATTAATCACCTCAAATAATTAAGATTTATGATAATTTAGAAAACTAGGCAACTGTTTTACAAACAAACGTACGGTCTAATTAACAATAGAGAAATACGAGAATATATACTACCTAAGTCACGAAAACTTATGTCAAAACTATACATTTTTCAAAAGACTCTTTTTTTTTTCTTTGTCGGCTTGCAAAAGAGTTCAGTTTTCTACTTTTGTAGCCCTCTAAAAGAAGAAGATAAATATACGAGTAGTCCTAGTTACGTTCCATTAGTTGTTTATATATTAAAATAATTATTTTTATTTTCAATCGTCATAATTTGTTTAAACAACTAGAAAAATTTGTGATGGTTTACTTAGTTCAGTTACGTGGTCTCCGGTCGGATCTGATAGTTATTACTGAGATAACCATTTATCTTGTAATAAGAGATAAATACATGAATGATATCATGGTATTAAGTATGTTTAACTAATTGTTAGTATGTTTAATTAATTGTTAGTTCTGGATTTACAGAAAGTATGAACTAAAAGTTTCAAATTTTTGGGTAATTAAAAAATGATAAAGAGAGTAAGGAATAATGATTAAAAATAGGAGGATATAGATTAATACAGTATCACTTGAACTGAAAAAATTTGAAGAAATTATAAAACATTTGAATGGGATATCCAAAATTTTAGGATATGCATGTCGGAACCGTATGTCCGAAGATTTGATGTGGGATTAGATGCCAATTGGCTAGCTACTTAAACAAATCCCCTATATATTAAAAGAGAAACATTTTTAAAAAATAACCTTATTTTTGTAAGTATTTCTAGTAGTGTCATTATGCTGATGTGTCAACTCCACATTTATTCTGAGTTAATTTTTTTAAAAAACCTTAGATTACTATACTAATTACATGATATATCATTGTGTATTTTAGGTCTATAAATATGTTATGTCTAATTTTTAAATCAGTATTTAATTTATTAAGATATTCTCTTTCTTTTATTTTTTACCAAAATATATCATATTAATTATTTCTTTAATTACATTTCTACCAAAAATCTTTTTTTATCTTATTTTCATTACATATTCATATAATAAAAACATATATAGATTTTATATACATGTATTATAATTTGAATTTTAAAAATTGAATATAAATTACTCAGATTATTAATAAATAAACATAAATTATTATAATTTGAGTTCATTATAATCATGGTAAAAGTTGATTGTAATTTGAGTTCATTATAATCATTATAAATAAAAGTAAATAATTATGATTCGATTTAATTGACTTTTTCCAAAAGTAAATTTTTAATTAGCTCATAATTTAGACTCTTTCCAAAATTTAGTATACAATAAATAATATTTAATATTTAATATAATATAATTATGAGGTAATTGATAATTTATTAATAATTTTAATGGAAATAAATTTTATTGTGTTTGATATATGTTAATAATATGATTAATTTAATTTATCGCATTCACTAATCTAATTTAGATATAAGTAATATAATAATTCAAATTTATTTTTTTAATTTAGATATATATATTTAAAAATTTTTGAGTATAAAGGATAGTGACACTTTTGTCTAATAAGTCATCAATATTTAAAACTTATTTAGAGTAAAAATAAATATAAAATGGATAAACATCAATATTTTTATAGAAGCTAATTATAAAAATAATTATTTGTCACTTTATTTTTATATAATCAATCATAGCAAGAACGCATCAAAACTCTAACCATATTACATCTTAAATTTTATCATGTATACACTATACTTCCAACTTACTATTTATCATATATCCAATTATGCTTTATTATTATATTTTAGATAATATTTTTTAATTAAAAGTTTTTAAAGTCAATAATTATTCTTTTCTTTTAAAAGCAGATAATTTATAGATATAATTTTTGTTTTTCAAATTAAAAATATAAAATTTGTGTCTTTTTTATAATTCATTTGATATAGTAGATAAATAACAAATTATTTAAATAATAATATTTAATTTTTATTTAAAAGTCAAAAGTAATTAAATATATACATTAATATTATATATCTAAATCTTATAGAAAATTCATATGGCGACTTCGTATTTCTATCCAGCTATATCATGTGCTATGCATGATATTTTACTTTTAAATTAATTTATATGATAATTAAATTACTCTATATGTTATAAAAAATATATTGTCAATATTATAATATAATATTATATGAAATTCATATAAATATAATTATATTTTATTATATTATATGATTTTAAAATTATATTAGATTTAAATAAATAATAATTATTTCATCTCGCACATAGTACGGGTTATTACTTAGTATTTAGTAATGAAGGGCAAGTAACAAATATTAATATGCAACCATAAATTAGTCTCGATTCAAGATGTATCAGCACCTTATCGAGTAGCCTTGGATTAATGATGTTTTATTAGGGAAATAGGCTTAATATTTGTTTACCTTTTATTCCATTTAGTGTGCATTTTCAGAAGAATTGTTCGCATATGTAAGTCTAAAACTTTGTTTGTTGATGTTTTTTGTGTGTACAGGATAGAATTACCAACTAAATTGTCATTAGTTAGACTGATCATTTATTCGAGATTTCAAAAGTAGTAAACTCTTGAAAGAACATATATTATCACAAAATCTGTACTCATATCTATATTTCATCAAAATCATATTGTTCCGGCCAATTTGATTAGTCTGAGTTTTCATTATAGATATACTAATTATTAGTAGATATGTTCAAAACTCTAGTTATTCATGGTTTTCATCAAATACTAAATCGATTAGTTCATTGGTTTTATATAGTTATGAGATCATTAATTATTTATTTTCCCCAAAAAAAGAGATCATTAATTATTTAAGGTCAGCCCAATTAGTTCATTGGTTTTCATTAAACCTAGATAAAAGGTAAAATAATATGAAAGACAATGCCATAGATATAAAAAGAAATGCGAGCGAAAAATGTTTTTGAAAAGGTTTAAAATATTTCTAAGCAAGAATCTTCTACCTTCCTGGCCACTTCACTAAAGTCCGGTGGGAAGATTCTGCAACTCTCAAGCCTCTTTCAATATATATATTTTTTTTTAAAACAACCTTTCAATATATTTTTTTGACAAAAAAACTTTCAACATTTTTTATTTAAGTGAATATCTGTCCTAGTTTATGGTAAGTATATATTAAAAATATAAGATATTCCCTTTAATTCTTTCTCTCATTTACATCCACTAAAAATTTAGAATAATTTACTCAACTTTATTTTAATTCGAATCAGAAAAAATAATTGATCAATCGTTATCTCTTGCTCTCTCTCTCGCTCTCGTACGACTAAAAATATTAAAATCTGGTTGTCTAGTATATGCTTCTTTGATTTATTTTGAATCTCTTTCAAAATTAATTAAAAATATATAAGGTGGTGGAAGAATAATATTTCTTTTTGGCAACGACTCTAAATTATACCCTAAATGTACCAGAAACGTTTACTATTGATACCTTTCATAAATAGAAGTGGTGATTCCATACATAACTTAAAAAATGTTAATTTATTTAACAAGTGGGAAAATGATAAGAAAGGGAAATGTTAGCTTAAACCTAATCCTCTGTGAACAGTTTAAATAATTTATTTATAGCAGTAGCACAGTAAGAAACATACAGTAAAATCTCTATAAATTAATAATGTTAGGATTCTCAAATTTTATTAATTTATAGAGTTATTAATTAATCAATAAATTAATAATTATTAATTTATCGATTAATTAATATCTTATTAATTTATCGAAATATTTTTTGGCTCGAATTCTTAATGTTCATTAAAAAGTAAAAAAAAATATTTTCACCAATATAAAATTTATTCAAAAAATATTATAATAATAAATTTAGAAGATAAATCAAACAAAAATTATAAACTTGAAACAATAATATTATCATATTTTACTATATTATATTATTTATATATATCTAAATATATAATTATTAATTTATATTATTATTGGGACTATACTTTTACATAAAACTTTCAAAAAAATATTATCTTATTATCTTATCAAATTTTGTCAATTTTTACATTAGTCCGACTTAAAATCGATAAAAATTATTAATTTATAGTAATTATTAATTTATCGAATACTAATTTATAGAGATTCTACTGTATATAATTTAGTTAAAAGATTATAAACTGAATTCACAAAAGTACAAGCTATGTGAAGTGGTGAACCAACAAAAGCGGAATCTGAGATTGAAACAATATATCGCTTTAGTAGAAATAATTTAAAGTTCTTTCTTACCCATTTGTTCTTTGTAACAAGTTTCCATATATTCCCTTTTGCTCTCTGATGCTTTATATCCTCCTCTTTTCTCCTTTAGCCTCTCTTTTCTCTTTCTTTCAAATGGAATTATATTAAAAATAAATTAACTTGACGAAAAAGTGATTAGGTACTAAGCATAGAATAAGAGCAATAACTAGAAATAGCTCAATACTAACTCAAGTGGTAGCAAATTTGATGATCTAAGTTGAGCCATGAATAAATGTTTGCTAAGTACTGTAAATAAATGTTTGATGGTTTTAGTTATAGTTTTATTTGATATTTTTTTTTTTATATAGTTTTATATATATAAACATTTCAGTACATCTAAAATAGCTTAGTAGAAGACTATCCCAATCAAAACTACGGCAAATTTTTGATTGTTACTTAAAACATTAAACTACTACAGATTTGAGTTTTTTTTTTATCGAATCGTTATTATATTTTAATTAAGATCGTTATATTTGAGTATTAGCTGTTCCTCATCGCAACGTATTTTATACTAATCGCAAAAGCACTTCTTACTGCGCGGCTATGGAATTTGATCACCAGTCTAATCTTCAACTATTGTCCAAATTGTTTAGTTAAAAACCCAATAATTTTTAAATAACCATAATACCAAGCATCTCTGTTAGCATCAGCCTTAATTAAGCTTTTTTGAGAGCCCACACTCATAGTCATTGACACATTAGAGAAGAAGAACGATTTCTAATAGTGAGAAGATTTCTAATATATATATATAAATATATAATATGTGTGTATATGTGTATGGTGACAGATCACTTTATTCCCTCCCTTTGAATTGAGCCCTCTAAAAAGGACAGGAACCTCCTCGTGATCCTCCTTGTGTCCACAACCTAACATTTTATTCCCCTTTTCCGCCATCTTCTTCTTCATTCTCTCTTCTTCTTCTCCAAACCCTAATTTTCACAAACCCTCAGAATCGTTGAATATATTTTGAAGAATTTTAAGCCACCACAAATTCTTCTTGATTCATTGCTCATCTATTTATAGCCAAAAGCATTAATAGATACTCTTCTTATATACACAGACTGTAGGCGATATATAAATTTATATATGGCTTCCTCATCAGAACTAAGCTTGGATTGCAAGCCACAAAGCTACTCTATGCTTTTGAAATCCTTTGGAGATAATATTCAGAGCGATCAAACCACACAAAAGCTTGAAGATCTTCTTTCTCGCCTAGAACAAGAACGTCTCAAGATCGATGCCTTCAAGCGCGAGCTTCCCCTTTGCATGCAGCTTCTTAACAATGGTACATACACCCACTTTGAAATTTTTACATATAACTATATAGTTTTGTATAGTACTATAAATTAAATTCTTTCATTTGCCATAAAAGAATAAACGACTTAAAAGTTAAAAAACAAGAACAGAAACCTAACTAAAAAAAACCATTAATCTGTTATACGTCTAGAAGAGTTTTTGAATTTCTTTTTTACTTTTTTCAAAAGATCTTTATTCACTAATTTAAGAATTTAATTCATAAAAATCAGAGCTTGCTTTTGATTTCTTTGAATCACAAGACTTTTGTTTCCTCCCATCACTGAAATCAACAAATATAACTAAAGTGGTTTTAAAGGTTATTAGGTTCATGTTAGTTACATCTTTAACTTTCGTATTTTAAATTACTTTAACACCTTTTTTGTTTCAGCTGTGGAAGTTTACAAGCAACAGCTAGAAGCATATAGAGCAAATAGTAATAACAACAACCAGAGTGTTGCCACAAGACCGGTTCTAGAAGAGTTCATACCCTTAAGGAACCAACCTGAAAAGGTGAATAACAAAGGGAATAATTGGATGACGACTGCTCAGCTTTGGAGCCAACCCGAAACCAAACCGAAAAACATTGATCCAAATACTGATCAGTCTCCCAAAGACGACCTTGCTAGTAGTCCAAAACTCGGACATTTTGATGCGAAACAAAGAAATGGCGGCGGCGCTTTTCTTCCTTTCTCTAAGGAGCAGTCTTTGCCTGAATTAGCTCTGTCGACGGAGGTCAAAAGAGTCTCTCCGACCAGTGAACATACTCATGACCACGACGGCAATGATGAGAGCATGATTAACAGTGGTAATAACAATAACAATAACAATAATAACAATTCGAATAGCAATGGAGTTTCCTCAACAACAAGTCAAAGTAATAGAAAGGCACGGCGTTGCTGGTCGCCGGATTTGCACCGGAGATTTGTTCAAGCTCTTCAAATGCTAGGTGGTTCTCAAGGTACAAATAAGTTTACAGTTTGGTTTTAGTTTGGTGTAGGTTTAGCACGGATAGTTTAACACGATTATCAACTAATTATCAGATTTAATTACTTTTCACTAGACCATATTTGATTCGCTAAACAAACCATTATTGTACGTTGTACATTTATACAACTCTGACTTTGAGTCTCATAGAATCTAAACTTTTTCAGTTTGGGCTTTTTTCGAAAGTTTAAGTGAACAATATATATAGTAGTATGGGTGGAGTTTAGTCGTCGTATATATTTATATTGAAATAAATTTAAGCTTTAGTTGGAAGTTTTTTAGGTTTTCAGTTTATTAACCAGAATATACTGTGGATCAACTTGGCACGATTGAAATGATACATATTCCATCCTCATTCGAAATATATATACTGAATTTTAAAATAAATTGAAATTTCGATTTGATTATTGTATTTTCGATTGAGATTTGGATTTGTTTTTAGTTTATTCATTTATTGGATTGGATCAATCAAAAACAACCATTTCCTCTAAGTTTTCATTTTTGTATCGAGTTGATTTGATATAATCTGAAGTATATATATCCATAACTATATGGTGGTTTGTCATATATTATTGCAGTGGCTACACCGAAACAGATAAGGGAACTTATGAAAGTTGATGGCTTGACCAACGATGAAGTCAAAAGTCATCTCCAGGTAACCTACATCACAAGTCACCACAATATGCTTACGGTTACTCATAATTAACTTTTACTCAATCAAAGTACTTTTATTACTTTTTAAACAGAAGTATCGACTTCACACTAGGAGACCAAGCCCAAGCCCACAAACATCAGGTGGACCAGGTCCACATTTAGTGGTCTTAGGTGGCATATGGGTCCCACCAGAATACACCACCGCACACGGCGGCACTCCGACTCTCTACCACCACCAAGTCCACCACCACCACGCCACCGCGGCGGCGCAGCCTCCACCACACTTTTGCTCCTCTCAAGAATTCTACACAACTCCGCCTCCATCCCAGCCGCTGAACCACCACCACTTCCAAACGTTTAACGGTTCATCCGGCGGTGGCGCCGCCTCCACCGATTCAGCCCATCATCAACTAACGGATAATGCCGCCGATGAAGGGAAGTCGCCAGAGAGTAGTAGTGGAGAGAGAAAAGGATTGGCTGCTCTTAGGGAAGAAGGTGAAGATCAGAGCAATATTAATGGAAGTGAAATAACTCTCAAATTCTAATTTTTTTCTTCCTCTTGATTAACTAACTAGATACTAGGGTTTAGGGTTTGTGGGTGGTTATGTGACTAAATTCATTGCTTGTATCTCTCTATATGCTCTCTCAGTAGAAAAATGAATCGTAGGAGGCAGAGAGTATTTTTATCGAAATTATTATTAATTATCATAATTCATCTTGTTGATTATGTCACTCCGTTAATTATTATGACCGGCATACTCTCATACCTAGCTACATACTGTTTTGTCATCTCTTTTACTTTAGTTTTTTGGATCATACTCTTATAATAAGTTTGGAAAATTAATGTAGATTATTATATATTATGAATATATGTAGGCCTTAATCGTGTCTAACTTGGTTAATCAGTACATGTTCACTGCTTTTTTCATCATCTATCTACTATCTAGGATCTGACCCGTAACACTAATCAGTACTGTAGTCATCTAACCTATCGTTTAATACGATCATATTGAATTAGACTGTTGGAACATTTGTATGAATTGCTGCAGATTTTCTTGTAACTGGAACAAAATCATGTCACCTTTAACACTAGTCTCTTTTCTCTTCTTTTTAAACCTCAGGTATCCGCTAAATATATATTCGCGCCATGAAACTCCAAACATTTTATTTTATTGGTATTATATATTTCTCATGCGCCATCGATACACTCTATATAACTATCTGAACGGATCACTATACTCACTAGATGTGGAGTGGTCCTTAGAATTATCAATTCTACTACAAAAGTCAGCGATATTATTTTTGTTTATTACATAAAAAAGTCTAAGCACAACCTTACCAGTTACATGTATCTACTTAATTTTCTAATAATTATATTACAGTAATATTTGCTGTGGATTGACAGCTATTTTTTCTCTTCATATCGTGCTTAAATTTTCGTTTTTCTTACTAAATTAATTTTGTTAAGGTTATTTACCTTCCATAGTTAAGTTATCTGGTAAATGAATCTCTTAGTCTTAGTTAAGTTATACGCTTTTACTATATAAAAATAATAATGTTATTGAAGAAAATACTGCAAATAAATAACAAGTTAAGGACGATCATGCCGAGACAACAGAAATATGCAGAAAGTCCATCAAAACCAATGTTGGGTTAACTGTTGACCCGACTCTTGGGTTAATAGTTACCGTTTTTAGGCATAAAAATATAAATATTACGACCTGTGAAATAATATATGAATAGTGTGCTACGAAAGGAAAAGTATTTATTAATTACCAAACTTCGAATGTATCGTGCACCAGGAGGACTAGAGGGCCAGGTCAGCATTAACTCACATACTATGTAATGCAAATATTTTCTAAAATGTGTCAGTTCCCAACTTTCTTCGTTCACAAATGAAACATATACTACTAATTTCCATCTTTCCAACCCAAAAGTTTTTTTAAAAAACTGTTGAATTATTATTGAATCAAATTCCTGAATCCAGACCATTATGGTCTCACGATCAGATCACGATTTATTGGTTTTTTTTTTTGTTTTTCAACTTGAGACTCATATTAAAGGGCTTAAAAGGCCGAAGTTTCTTGGTTATGCTGTTATTTTGTCTAGGAATTATTGAATTGTACCAAACTATAAATAAAATAATTACAATTTTGGCATACTCTTAAAAGAACTGATAATAAATATTGAAGTTGATGAGAAGTTTGTATTGGAAATAATTATATTCACTCTCATAAACTACAATATATTGATATAATTGAGAGATTTCCTAAACTACATAGATACAGATGTGGATTAATATATTCACATAATATTTACGAATTTCCTAGATGATTCTTTTATAATAAATCAAGAAAAATTTTACCATGACCATTTTCATTTTTGGAGTTTGGACATTGGAATTTCAGATTCTTGTCTGTGGTTAAACCTTGGAACTAGAGAGATGGCATGGTCTTATATCAGTCACTTTTATTAATTAACTCGTCTCTCTGTGTCCGAATCTCTCTCATCTTATTATAATCTCATCTCTCTCCTTCTTCTTCTCTCTCATCTTCGATTGTGTCTTTTTAGCTTTGGGGTAAAAAAAAAACCTTGCCTTGGTCCCTTCTTTGGAAAAATCATCATGAGATTGCTTCTTGGTCTCTTGTTTCTCTTGGCCCTAACCAGCTATGCAAGTAAGTTTTTTCTTTCTGTTTTTCACTACTTCCTCTCCTATTCATCATTAAAAGCAAATTTGATTTTCAATATGGGTCTCCACCAATCACAACGATCTTCTCAAAATAACCCTTTATAATCTAAATAATCGACTGTTATTGTAAAGTTTTCAGTCTAGTAAACAATTTATCTGTTTCTAGGTGCAACTTACTGTTTATGCAGAGATGGGGTTGCAGAGAAAGATCTTCAAACATCAATAGACTATGCATGTGGAGTTTTAGGAGACTGTAATCCAATCCATGAGAAAGGTCCTTGTTACAACCCCAACGATATCAAGAGTCATTGTGATTGGGCAGTGAATACCTATTTCCAAAGATCTGGACAAGTCGATGGAAGCTGTAATTTCTCAGGCACTGCTACTAGCAGCCCAACTCTTCCTTCAAGTAATTCATCTTTAAAAACCAAAATCTCTAATCTTAATTTGTTGGTTTTTTTTAAAAGTACAATCTGTAATCTTTTTGATGATTTTCTCTGTTTTGTAGCTGTGGTTACTGGTTGCATCTATCCTTCAAGTCCTGGGTATGTTAAGAATTAAATTTCCATTAAACTCTTAATTAAGATTTTCCCAAAAAGAAAAAAAATTAGTTTCGTATTTGATTATTTATTCCTTCCACACCATCAATACATAGCCACCAACCATTCTCAACAGATGCAATTGACACTTAAGTTACTTTCTTTTCTTTATTTTTCAAGATTTGGTACGAGACATTGTTTTTTTTTTTTAATAAACTTGTCTCTTATAACGTGACTTGAAAGTTTATTTTGTGTGTGTTTACCTACTTTTGTCTACAGAACTGCAGGGACAACTCCGACGACCGGACCTCCAGGAACACCGATGTTTCCGGGACCTCCTGCGTTTGGCCCGGCCGGAGTTTTTGATCCTTCAGGGAATGATGCTTTGAGTTTGCTCACTTCAATAGCACTCACACTTGGTTTCTCCGTCATTGCGTTACTAGAAGAGGCAATGTGATTAGAAAGTGGCGTCGAGGTTTTTAATGTACGGATGAGATCTTGCCACGTATAAATGCAAGTTCTTTGAGGCAGACATCCATCCACTTTAGGGTTGGTTTCTTGATGTTAGGCTTTAAAAAAAAAAAAACCTCAGTTGTTTTTCTCTTTAACGTATGCAATGTAAAGTAAGAGTTGATTTAGTGGGAATCTTTCTGTTTTAAGTGTTATATGCAGAGTAAAGAGAACCCATTACGTAATGAAAAATGCAAACAAAATGGGAAGTGGTATAGTTATGGGGATTAAAGATATCGCAGACGTGGTTAATGACTTAATGGGTTGGATCTACGGATGTAACGTAATTGAGAAACCAAACCAAAATGCTTTTAGTCAAGACCAAACAAATTATTTTATATACCGATTGATTTTAGTAATTGGAGAACTTCATTAAACCCAACCAATATGTACTAGCATTTGTATATGGTTTGTAAAAAAAGATATTGTGGTGAACCAAAAGTTATTTAGGTCGACCGGTCGAGTTTTATTTGGATTTGGTCGAGATTTGTTAAGGTTTATCAAATCGGTCAAGAACAAACTAAGATCTCGATAGTTAAATTAATCGTTCAGAATTTTTTGTTTTTGTCAGAAACTAATCGGTGACAAATCTGATACATTTTTACCTTTTTTTATTTGTTTTCGACACTTTATCACGGATTGAACCGAGTACTTTTTGTTTTGTTTATAATTAGATTATTTTGAATCGGTCCACATAAAATTGGTATTATCAAGATCGGACTTTAACAATTCGGTTGGTTTCGATTTGATTTTCAGCCTTATCGTTTTCGAAACAACATACACCAAATAAACCATACTAATACTTTGGTGTGATTTTGGTTCGGTTTACTGTAGTTTCCCAATGACTAAAAGCCATCGATCGGTTAAGTGAGAGATTGCAGGCATTAAGTGAGAGATTGGAGGCACTAAACCAGCCGCATATAAACTTATGTGTATAATTTAAGATGTAAAATAATATATTTAATATTTGACTGTAATATTCAAAATTAAGAGTTTTTCTATTTCTAACTTTGATATATGTGTTAGTATAAAATATAATAGATCAGAACATATAAAAAACATGATTCGTGAAATAATTTTTTAATATGTTAGAAAATTATATATATGAAATAATTAATATATGTAAGATATAATTTAAAATTTTCAAAATTATCCTTTTTTATCTTTTTAACTCATATTTTTTTTCTTAACCTTGAATACTATATTAAACATTAAGATCATATTCAATATATCTTTTTATTTTTTCCTCTAAGATATTGGTAGATTTCTCTCCAACTTAGTTTATTTTGCAGGAAACAAAAAGATTGTTATTTTTTTTTCCAATTATAGAGAAAAAAATAACATCTCTATTTTTTTTCTAAATTAGAAAATTTAAAATAAAGTTGGGCTGAAGATTTTTTTTAAACCAAAGATATAGCCCGAGTATTTTACAGAAACATAAAATCGTAGAGATTCCTTTTTAACTTTTACTTCTACTTCTTTTTTACTAAAAGAATACTTATGATTTATTTTTTATCCATTTATTTTTTTGTTTTATTTATAATTTCAAATTGTTGGTATGTAATGAGAATGTATTTCACATGTAATATAATCTTTTTTTTCTTATTTGAAAATGAAATTTATTAAGTTTTAACTTAACTAATCAAAATATTTTGTTTATTTTATAAAATTTGTCATGTCACATTTGCAGATCATCATTAATTTACACTAATTTTTTTTCTAGTTGCGACACATCATTTTTTTCATTAAAACCTGGTTGTCAAATAATATATAAGATTATGCATACTCAGAACAACTTAATAAAATGTCCACTTGCTTATTAACACTTTAATAAAATACTCAATATTATTAATATGTATGAGGAATTTATATCCATATTAAGCTCAAAACGTCTTAAAAAGTGTTTAGTTTCATATTAGGCTTAGAGACACTTTAACAAAAAAATGCTGGAGATGGTGGTTCGTGGACTAAAAAGGTATTAGGTGAGTTCACTTTTGAAACAAAAATTTGTTAGATCCAAAATTTGTTAGAGGGAAACTATTTCACATTTATTAGATTGAACATGATCCCCAAGAAAAATACAATTCGGGCTATGGTCTGAGAAGTCTGGGTCTCCAAAATGGGCATAGACAGAGGGAAACTGTATATGCCACTGATAGTTAATGAGGATTTTGTCGAGCTCTTTTTTTTGGTAGGTGGTAGGAGACGTGAATAAAGTAAATCCAGTTACATCCGTACATGTCGGGCTCTAGTCCTCCCATTTGCATCATCCGACACAAAAGCTCGAACATCATCCAGAACAAAATCAAAAACATGTAATCCCAAAGGTAATGAAAACGCAAGGTTCGCTAAACCATCCACAAGATAGTTTGCCTCCTGATGCACATGCGAAATCTTGACTATCCAGTCTCGCGATATGAAGCCATAGCACAAACGTGCCAGGAATAACAAGGGGTGCGATTCGCTGATCCCTGTCCGTAAAAACCCCACCACCATCTCTGAATCCACTTCCAACTCAAGCCGTGTTATCCTGTTTTCCCAGGCGATGCACAAACCATAATATACTCTCCACAACTCAGCCAAAGAAGCCGAACAAATGCCTATATTATTTGCAAAACCCCTGCACCAGTCCCCAACAGCATTCCGTAAAGCCCCACCTGCTATTGCAGGTCCAGGGTTTCCCCGAGAAGCACCATCAGTATTCAGCTTCACCCATCCCTCCAGCGACCGGGACCATGCTATTTGTCTCTCCACTCTCGCCATTACTTGCGAGTTTCCTTTCAGCTTTGAATGCCCGAGTATTGCTTCATGGGCCAGGTCCTTTACAAATTTCACTCTGTCTCGGCATCTACCATGTACACCAAAAACATACCCACAACACCATTTCCAGCTCCACCGTACAACTAATGCAAACAGCATGGCCCAAGAACTATCCTGTTTTGATACATCTACAGCCAAATTCCCATATAACCATTCAAGAAGGGATTGTGCAAAGAATCCACGTTGTCTACCTGAAGATACGAGGCGTTTCCAAATCCCCACTGTAGCAGGGCAGTCTCGGAGAACATGAAGAATCGATTCATTCCCACCTTTGCAGACTTGACAAACTCCTGTATCACTAATGTGTCTGCGAAGCCTTTTCATATTTGTCATAATGGCATTGTTAGCCACTAGCCACAGAAAGACCCTTACTCTCTTTGGGACTGCTACATTCCAAATCCGTTTGAACAACTTCGACATGTTCTGCCCCAGAACCTCACTCTTCGTAATGTAGGTATACGCTGATTTAACAGTAAAATCTCCATCTTGATTCTCACCCCATGACACTCTGTCCTTTGCACCTGTAACTTCACCAACTACTACTGATGCTAGCTGTAGTTGGATGTTGTGAGGGAGCAAAGTATCCAAAGCTTGTGTAACCCATCTCGTACCATTTTGCCAGAATTCTCGTACTTTGGCTTCCCTCATGTATCCTGGTACCTCATTTATAGCCAAAGCCAAAAGCGGTTTATTCAAGAGCTATTTATCTTGCCATAACCGAATCTGATGTCCATTACCAATCACCCAACTCATCCCTGGAAGTACTACCTTGCGAATACCCAACATCATGCTTCTCCATGTAGACGACCAGTCACTTTTTGTAACAGTCCACCAACCACCATCTCTGGCATCTTTTACTTGAGACTTGCTTTGCAACACCCTTGCCCATATGTGGCTAAAAAGATGGCTATTTCTAGCCTTTGCAGAGGAGTGCTTCTTGCAGCAAAGATCCATAGTTAAATTGCTTGGAAAGTGGTGATGGAAACATAGCTTTCTTTCATCGGATGGTCCTTTCAAGGCACTCAATCAATCAAATTCAATACCTGGTAAACTTGGAGGGAATGGAACTGGAAAATATAGAGGCTGTGAAGTCTCACTGTGTTGGCTACTTTTAGGATATGTTTGGAGCTCCCATATGCTGCCTCTCTCACCTAATACCTTGGATCAGATTTTGGATCTAACAAATTTTCAATTATGTGACTCGACAAAGGCTTTGCTTCAAGCTGCTGCCATCACAGAAGATGTCAAACGAGAAGTTTTCTCTCTTCCCCAGAACAAAACTCCATAACCTAATGGTTATACATGTGATTTCTCCAGAAAAACATGGGACTTCATTTTCCCTGATCTTTCGAATTCTGTTTTGGATTTATTCAAGTCCGGGAAATTGCTTAAACTATGGAATTGTACCATTATTTCCCTCATCCCAAAGAAAGTTGAAGCACATAAATTGGTGGACTCCAGACCATTTTCTCTATGCATTGTGGTATATAAGATAGTTTCCAAAATCTTGACCTGAAGATTACAAGAAGCAGTTCTTGATATGGTTTCCAATACTCAGTCTACTTTTGTTAAGGAAAGATTTTTGGTGACAAATATGTTGCTCCCTACAAAAATAGTTCAAGGGTTCAATTAAAAAAATATTTCAAAGTGAGGTCTGCTTAAAGTGGATTCAAGGAAAGCCTTTGACTCGGTAAACTGGGAGTTCATCACTAAGATCTTTCAAGCTGATGATTTCCCACCAGTTTCCATCTACTGGATTATTTAATGTCTCATGACAACATCTTTCTCCATCAATATTAATGGGAAATTATGTAGGTTCTTCAAAGGCACCATGGGATTAAAATTATTAACCATCTAACCAGATCCTCATATATAATATCCCAAGATCTCTAGAAAAACAAAGTAGTCATACCATCGGGTCCTAGGACCTTCCATGGATGCATCATAGAAAGCACCTTCTTGACCTTCTCCTCTCTTGTTGTTTCAACTAATTCAGAATATTCTCTATCAACTCTTTCCGAGTTTATTTTTACTAAAACATCCTCAAACATCATTGGAGAAATAAATGTAAAGAGCTCATTAAAATAATTTACCGCAACATTTTCCACCTTTTTTCCCCTTCCGCCT